ACTCTGGGGCGTCTTCTTCTACCCTTACAACAACCAGTTCATCAGCTTTCGACAGAAGCGAGAAATCCGAGTCAAAGGCGAAACACACCATTGACCCAAAAGATCATCTGATAGATCTCGCAACCGATCTCCTCATGTTCTCGCATCAACAACCGAGGATAAGCACGGCATTTTTCGTTCTCACAGACGTTTCGGGTGTCGACAATATCTCCAATGTTGCGTTTGGGGAAAAGGAAACCTTGCTATAGGCTAGACAGGCACAACAGGGTTGATGAGCGACGACGCTAGCTATTTTCGTTTTCGACTCTTGGACGTTCATTGTCGTGGCGGATGTCTCTTGACGCCCCGGCCGACGGCAATACTGTACTGCAGACCATCAATACCAATGGCAAGCTTAAGCCTTTGCTTCTCAGCACTATGTGATCATATCTTCATGTCTCGCGTCTATTTTCCGGTGTTCCGTAGTCGAAACTCTGATTCTCAGACGTGTGCTCTGCCTAGATTGGCCCATCCTATCCTCTCCAACTGAGAGCCGTAACATACAATTGAGAAACATACCGCGGAAAATCATGGTACAATAGAGGTACACTAAGCCTCTACGACACAAATCCCCAACGCATTACCAGCAAACGAGCCTCATGTATCATATGCCGTTCTTGGACTCCTTGAGCTTCTTGGATCACCGCTACTGTTCTATCATAACCAACGAACTAATCACATAATCTTGATTTCAAGACCTTAGCCGTCACACAGCCGAAATTGTTCGTCCCGGGACAGTCTATCTCAAACACACCGACGTCAATTCCAAGCCCACTTGTCTAAAGAGTTGTAGCCAAGCCGATCACTGAAACCAAGTGTCAAAACTGCATAGGGGGCTCCTCCTATCAGCCCTGCAGATCATACGCCTTTTCTTGTCTTGCCTTACCCTGTTTATCTGTTTTACCTTGCCCTGTTGAACTTACACTCAACAAAAAGTAAAAGATCAAATAAAAAGGAGCCCCCAGGTTTTAACCAGCTGAGGAAGGTGGATTGTATTACATACCTTCTACAGTGTACTCATGTGGTAAAACCGACGAACCCGTTCTTGGCCCTTTTTTTCTCCGCGTGTCGAACGAAACGAACGGGGGGGAGGGAGGGCGGGAACGGGATGGCGCGGGGACTTCGGTTGTGCACATGTGGTCGGGCGGGGCCGGAGCGGGTTTCACCACTTCGCTTCTTCCTCGGTTACATACCGGGACGAGATCCGATCGTTTATAGGTAGACATGGGTTGCTTTTCCTTATGTGGCTGTTAGCTTTTTAAACTTTATTTCACACAGCAGGATTAAACCATGCCTAAAAAGGTACCTGTATTTCCTTTACAATGTCGAACCCGTCTCCCAATGCCATTATAGCTAGGTATTTCCGTCGATCCGCGAATACGTTCGTCCCCGAGGTCGGTATCTAAAACCCGCGAATGACGTTCGTCGACGTACGCGGCTTCGTGTCTACTTGTATCTCGGGATATTCATCAGCACTTCAGATCAAGACCGTAAACATCAGTTTACATACCACACCGCTCCTTAACAGGACTATCAGATAAGTCTTATGACTTCCAGATCCAGTCGTCGACAAGATCGCAACAGACAACACCAAAGTCCAACGGCACTACATCGTGGAGTCCAAAGCTGTCCCTCATGTTTTCGGCTAGTGCTCTCCACCTTGAGTCGACAAGAGACCGAAAGTAATTGGTCGATAGATGATCGCGTGGAGAAAGAAATGCCTAAAGTCACCTATTTCCGTATGTATCCGTTGCTCCTCAGCCCATTGATCGCCGTCTCACATGATAGTATCTTGCTGATTTCATGACAGATCTGACACTCGACTCCGTGCTTCTTTCGCAAATGCAAGGTACAGCACAACTTCCGGGCTCTCTTCGTGGTGGCCTTCACACACCCTCGACGGAGACAACATTTCTTGAGGCCCTCTTTTGACTCTTCATAATCAGATCACACCCAGTCCATACCAACATCGACTGACGACCTGTCGGTCACGGTCCATCCATCTTGGTCAAGTACTCGACAGGCACCATGCTTCTTCCTCACCACTCACGCTCTCCATCTCTCCTTACTTCCCAACAACCTCCTTAACCTTAGTCTCAGCCTTGGCCTCCAGCTCCTTCGCCTTATCCTTACCCGCATCCACTGCCTTCACGAGTCCCTCCTTCTCCTTGCCGCCCCAATAGTTGTACTTCAGGTAGCGATAACCCTGCGTCAACTGGGCCGTCTCGTTGACGGCGTGGCACAGGAACAGGAGGTAATTCTTGGGTTGCACGGCGAGCGAGTAGCGCATGAAGGTAGCCGAGTAGATGCAGAGGGCAAATGTCATTTTGCCGGAGATCCTATGTAAAAGGTTAGAAAGAGGGGGGTCTGTTGGGTTCGTTCATTGTTGTGGTGAGTGGGCTAGAGACTGAGACGAGAATGAATATCCCAGGGGTCTTATCAAAAGGAAAGGCTGTAGGTTAGGAGGACTGAGACAGAAAGCTCATAACAGATGGGAGTGAGGAACATAGAAGGCAGATAGGTTGAGGTTGGTTGATGAACAAGGGGCACGCACAGTTCAGGACTCTTCTGTGTATCCATCACAGCCGCGATGGGGATACCAAAATTAGAGGCAGGGCCCCAGAAGTCTGCGAGCACATTGGTATATCAGCAGCGTGTCCGACGTCTAGTTGCAAGGTATGTCCCATTTTCACCGGGTTGTCCCAACAAGCATCATGCTGCGGCAGCCTATGCAGCGCTACGGTCTTTAAACATGCCCCGGTAGAATCGTGTCTTTGGTGATGTTCTACCCCTAAACATCCTTCACCATGATGCTTATGGCCCGGGTCGTGAGGACGCCCCAGTATTATCGGGGATTGGCCCACCCGGGGGGGTCTGGGATCACGACTCGAGACCAGGCGGGTCGCTCAGCTGGCTGGGGTAAACTGGGATATGGAGACTTACGCGTTGAGCAGACATAGTTCAGAACGGGATGAGACCTGATCTTCGCATTGATCGCTTTCACAAAGGCGGCCATTTTGACTGTTTTGAACGGATTGTATACCGGCTTTGCGTCACCGATAGAGAGATTGGATGGCCCGCGAACACAGCGAAATGTTGCAAAGTTGGGGTTCCGTCCGCTCTCAGCACGGACCCGTTCACCTTCAGGACAGCTGAATGGGTGAGGCTGCCAAATGCTCAGCTCGGCGCTGTTATGGAGTGGGGCAGCCTTATGGATCGGAGATACGTACCTGCTTAACAGGGGCAGGCAGCAAAACTGTGGTTCTAAACGTGGTGCTATGGTTTTCATTATTTGTAGTGATGTTTGTCATGTTTTCGCAATGCTATATCCCTGATTCATGCTTGAAAAACGCAGGTAATTATCCCGCTCTAAACAACTGTTTTCAGTGAACCCCCTAAACGCCAGCGTAAAATTCACACCTCTTGAACCATGGCAGAGCTTCATTTCCTTTCATCCAAGCCCGCTTCATGCAGGGGAGTTCTAGCATCTCTCGAACACAATACACCATCGGATTGGATCAGTAAATTAGCGGTAAAATCGAGCAGTCAACCTCCTTATCTGCGGGGAGGCGGGTTGAAGCCAGCGGGGCCACCAGCGCCTGGGGGCGGGAACGAGGGAGGGAAACCAGGGGCACCGGGGAAGCCAGCTGCGGGAGGGAATACAGGGAAGCCGGGAGGAGGAGCTGAGATAAGTGTTAGCAAATGAGACACTGATCAAGTCCACGAAGGATAACTTACGGCCACCACGGCCGGGGAAACCGGGGGGTGCAGCACCGGGAAACCCAGGGAACGGCGGGGGAGGCGCAGCGCCGCCAACACCAGCGGCGGGACCGGCGAGCGAGATAGGAGCGGCAGCACCACGTCCAGCAGGTCGAGCAACACCAGGACCAGCCTGGAGCGTTGAAGCAAGTCCTCCACCAGTCGATTTTCCGAGACGAGCGCTCGGGTCCGCGGGTGGAGGCGATTCGACGGAGAGCGAGACAATATGGGCACCACGGATGATTGTAAGACCCAATGTGCGCTTCTCCTCCTGTTCGACGGTCTGGACGGCGGGGGCAGACGAGCCAGGGGCGGCAGGCTTGTTTTGTCTCCGCTTAATGCGACGGAACTCTTCAGCATCGGCGAGGACGAGGTTCATGTGCTGCCAAAATGTCAGCAAAATCGGCAAGATTGAATGATACAAGTGCCAGGTTGTACCTTGTCGAAAGCAAGCATTTGTCCGGTCATCTGGCGGCCATCGTTAAGAGTGACACGCATCCGGTAGTTGATCTGTTGGCATGAAAACCGTCAGTTCTTCGTGCCATCCTTGTTGTTCGAGATCGATAGTAACCAAGAGCGCGAAGTACGTACGTAACCGGCCTATGATATCACACCTTGTCAGTTGTCTGGCGTCAACATTGATACGTCAAGCGGCAGCACGGATTGGGGAGCGATGACTTACCATCTTGCCTTGCTTGTTGGTCGACGCCATCTTTGCGACTATTTGCTACAGAGTAGCTGTTCAAATGGTACAAAAATTAACCGTTTGGTTTCTCGACAAAGTTGCTTGAACTTCGTCGTCGCGTTCTCAACAGCTCTTCGCGGGGAGGCTTCAGAGTCGCGTGTGGTTGGATGATGAAATCAGGTCGATTTCGGTTTTGCAAGGCGCGAGGCTGAGAACTTAACACAGGCGTCCCGTTTCACAGCACCTCTCGCCCGCTCCACCAGACAGGCTCGCACGAGCCCTCCAGCGCAACGATGTGTGCCAAGACTTTTTCAGTTCTAGGCTTGCGCGCCTTCACTGTCCTCTTGCGATTTGCCTGCCGCTCGCCAAGTGGCGGACAGGTGGGGATGGATCCCACATCCCTGGTGCCCACAATCTCAAAATTGCTGAACAAAAATCGTCAACCGCCACGGAAATCTCCCGAGCATCGCGACGGTCAAGTTTCCTTTACGGCGGATTTCGACACAAAACCGGCACCATGGTACGCGATAGCTATCAATTCCGTGGTATCTGGAATCACTTGCTGACGGTCATCATGTGAAAGTCTACCGAACAGAAGGCCCAGAACCCCATGCGGGAGCTCCGCATCCAGAAGCTCGTCCTCAACATCTGCGTTGGCGAGTCTGGTGACAGACTTACCCGTGCCGCCAAGGTGCTTGAGCAGCTGTCCGGTCAAACCCCCGTCTACAGTAAGTTTTGACCTCTTCTCGCCGACGTGACGATCATTCTAGAAACGAAGAAATCGAAATCTACACGCAGAAATGATGGCCCTAACACGTCTTTCCCCATCAACCAGGCAAGGCCCGTTACACCGTCCGTACCTTCGGTATCCGCCGTAACGAAAAGATCTCCGTCCACGTCACCGTCCGTGGCCCCAAGGCTGAGGAGATTCTCGAGCGTGGCCTCAAGGTCAAGGAGTACGAGCTCCGCAAGCGCAACTTCTCCGAGACCGGCAACTTCGGCTTCGGTATCTCCGAGCACATCGATCTCGGCATCAAGTACGACCCCGGTATCGGTATCTACGGCATGGACTTCTACTGCTGCATGACCCGCCCCGGTGAGCGTGTCTCCCGCCGCCGCCGCGCCAAGAGCAGAGTCGGTGCCACCCACCGCATCACCCGCGACGACACTGTCAAGTGGTTCAAGTCTCGCTTCGATGCCATCGTCCGCTAAATTGTCCCCATTACTTCCTGAAAAGGATTGTGTGATATAGCTTGGCGACATGGTGGAGGATCTGAAGTTACCGCTTCTTGAGGACCAGAGGGAGTTTGGGGCTCGGCGGCAGTTTCTGGGCTTTCTCCGGGTGGGCGTTATTCTGGTATTGGTTTCGGGGAAAAAAAAACACCAAATCCAGGATTTGTAGATGCACCATGATACCTCTTATTGGCGACTTCGTCAATCTAGCTTGATCTGAATCTACAGTCGAGCTGCGGCCTCAGAGACCGACCGGCATTATGCCGGCTTACCCTACCTTCATGAAGTTATGTGAAACAAGGATATCTTGTCCTTTGGCCTCTCGAGTAGATCAGTTCTATCCCAGTGACAACCTGAACAGCCAGCCATCAATCATCGGCGCGTGGCGCTTCATCAATTTCCGGCTATGGCTGTTTTGCCCACGATACATATATACTCGACATGTGCAGATTCTGTGGAATAGGAACGGCATGTCTTCTTGCGCCATCGAGTAAGGCTGGAAGTTTTCATTGCCCTTGGTTGAAGGTAAGAAAGAAACGGCCTAACGGCTGGCTTTACATAATGGTTTATCAACCGTCGCTGGCTGTCATTGCTCAAAGAACGAAGCAGATGAGCTATCTAAGCACCAAGGGCTGCACGATCATTGCCATTGGGATGGAGCATGTACGGATACTACATCATTGTTGCAACCGCCTGGCATTTGTGATGTTGCTCCGGCCGTGGGGGAGTCTTGTGGACGATACTGCCAGTGATGGAGGTTGTTTGCAAGACTATCTTCGTATGGTTACTACATCATCAAGCACAGCTGCTGCGTGATGCTACTAGGTATAGGGGCATGTTTTCTTGCTTGATAAAACTCCGGAGCACGTTGGAATCTCTCCTCGAGGTCAAGTAACAGAGGGTACCTGATACGAACCACGTAAAGTGGCACGTTTGGATCATGACACGTAGTAATCAAAAGTCAATTAAGTCGAAAAGCTCTGATTATGAAATAAGATATCATACATGAAATTTGTAACAGACCACGAGCCTCTAATGATCTGGCTAACATGAAAATCAATAAACCCTGCCATCCGTCTTTCCCTTTCGTTTCCCTTTTTCATCCCACTGACATTCGCAAAAAGCCATTTACATCTCTCATCTGTATGGGTTGTTTTATCCTCAGGTCATTGAAATCGTGGCATATTAGCAAGATTGTCGTCCACCATGAGACAGCCAAGCGGAACAGCATCAACAGGATCCAGTTAAGGGATACCTGAAACTCCAGAATCCTGATGGTCTTCACTGTGTAACAGGAGGAAACCGGATGCGATCCGTCCAGGATCATGGATGCATGGAGAAACTACCAGGGTAGCCCTCTAGAAGCCAAAACCGGTAGGCTGCGGCACAAAACCGTTGGTTTGTCCGTAAGGAGCTGGGGATGCCTGGCCGGGGCCGGCAGTGATCATAAGCCGGTTGCCAAGAATGGGTGTGTTGTCCTCGACCTTCTCCTTCTCCTGCTCCTTAGCCTTGCGAGCCTCGTTGTCGGCCTTCAGAGAAGCGAGCTCCTTGGTCTGCTGGCAGAGCATGTTGATCATATACGGCATGGTAAAATCATTGAGACCATTGCGCCAAGAAAGCTCCAGGACAAGGTCGGGCCTGATGAGGTCATAGCAGGCATAAAGCATACCAACGTAGCATTCGCGGTTGCCAATGTCAACGAACTACAGAGATAAATGTCAGTAAGGGAAGCCAACGTGACTTGATGAGCTTGAAGAAAAGAAAAATCACTTACGTAGCGCAGAAGCTCCTCGACAACTTCCGTCTTGCCGGAGATGGCGGCCGTCTCAATAGCATCCTTCCAGAGCTTATCCTGCTTGGAAAGGTTGATGGACTTCTCCCAGCGCTTGTTCTTGCGGTAGATGCTGGCAGCAATTTGGCGGAAGAAGACAAGGTCGTGCTTCTCCAGACGACCGGCAAGTTCCACGGCGTCGTAGTTGTCGTAGTTGTTCACAGAGTCGCGCAGAGTCTTGTAGTCCTCCTCCTCAATGAGAAGATCATTGATAGCGTCGTTAACGGTCCGCTTGTTCTGAGATTGGACGCTAAGGAGGAAAGGCTTGATCAGGGGCAGGTTATCGGACTTCTGGAACATGCGGACAACACGGTTGACATCGATACGCGGGGTCAAAACCTGGAGAAGATCGGTGAGCAACGAGGGATGTTGCTCCAGGTAGAAATTGATGGCCTTGTAGTAGATTTCAAGGTTGGCCACCTTTATGGTGATCTCCTTGAACTGTTGGTGCTCCCAAGAGTTCTCAGGGCGCTCCATAACGGCGAGAGCAGCATTGTCAAACTCATCGTAGTGGTAGTAGCAGAAGACCAGCTCAGGCCACAAGTTGGCTTCCTCGCAAGCACGGATCATCTTGGGGAGGTTCATTCTGCTCCAAAAGAGTTTGAGGTGCTCCATAAGGCGCTCGGGGTGGTACTTAGACAGCGCAATACCCAACTCGGTGAACATTCCCATGTGGGCGCGCTCCAATCCAAGACCCTGCTCAAGCAAGCTGATGAGCTCATCAAAGTAGCCGTTTGTCTCGTACTGCTTGACAAGAGCCTGGAGTTGCTCGGCATCGACAATAAGGTTAAGACCGCAAATCTGAGCAAGACGGAACTCCTTCTTGTTGACGCAGGCCTCGTGGACCTCCTTCCACACCTTGATGTTGTTGGCCTTGCGGGCGCAGTCCACAGCCGCCTGGTAATCGGACAGGTGGACAAGAGTAGTGGCAAGCTTAGCCCAGTTGGAAATGCTGGTGTAGAAGATTTTGGCCGCCTCAAAGAAGCCCTCGGCGTACGCCTTGTCACCAGACTCCTCAACATTGGCAACATTGGTAGCGCGCAGGAACTCTTCAAGCTCAGGAAGCTGATCGAGGCGGGCGTAGCAGAAAGCGAGAGCAGTGTCAATGACAGGCTCCCGAAGGGTCTTGCGGGCCATACGGAGGTACTTGATGAGCTCTTCGTTCTTTCCAGCAGCAACGGCAACCTCGATCACTTCCTCGTAGTTCTTCGGATCCTCGGCCTTGATGTAGGATTCAATGGAATCGCTGACGCGGAGACCATCAAGCTGAGCCTTGGCAACCTTGCTCCAAACCTGGGGAATATCAACCTCCTCGGCGTACGCTTGAGCACGGTCAATGCTAACGACGTGCTCAACAAGAACATTGACAGCAGCCTCTTTGTTATCAATCTTCTTGTAGACCTCAAAGGCTTCCTCGTGCAGGCCAACCTCAATACAAACATTAGCAATCTCGTCGGCGGCGAAGTTGTCGAGCTTGTGAATGTAGTCCATCACACGGGCCTTGTCAGCCTTGGCGGCAGTGAAGATAAGCAAGTTCTGCAGGTTCTGGTTGTCGCTGAAAGGCGACGGCTCCAGGACAATCTTCTCCAGCAGCTCAATAAGCTCGCCAGGCAAGTCGGCGTTCAGGAAGCACGTAACAGCCTCAGACACCTTGGCGGGATCAGTCGACTCAGGAACGGCTGTCGAGATGACTTGGTCTACAACAGAACGGCGGTGGACGTTGTTCTCGCTGAGCACAAACATCCAAAGTTCCCTATCAGCGCGCTCCAAAAGATACCTCGCCTGGGCCTTGTACATCTGGTTCTCGTTGGTGATGTTCACGAGTTCGAGATCATTCTGGCCCTTGCGATAGGCAATATAGGCCAAGTTGGGATCACGCTTCTCGCAGTACTTTCCGACAGTGAGGGTATCATACTGATCGTTCTCCTTGAGGAACTTCTCTGGGTTGTTGTTGGAGTCAATGTATATCTTGGCGAGAGCGTTGTAAACAGCCTGCTGCTGGTTACCGGCAGCGAGGGTAGCCTCCAGGAAGGGCAGGAGTAGCTTAAGGCGGTTACGAGTCTCAACCTCCTGCACCAGCTCATCGATAGGGATAGATGCGGGGTTGACCGTGCTTAGGAGATTCTTGATAATGCTTTCATCACAGTCCACATCGAGCAGTCCTCCGATGACACCAGGAGTCCTGCTCGGGTTGACCTGCTGCACGTAAATCTCAATGGACTTGAACTGCTGGTGCTGGTACAGGTAGAGGACCAGGTCATGAACAAAGTTGAAGCGATCGCAGACAACCATCAAAGGAAGCATCTCGCTGAGCTTGGCCTCCTTGAGGAAGTTCTTCACCTTCTCGGGGTTGTAAACGCTGTTGTCGCGGCAGATACGCTCAACCTCGCGAATTTGTCCCATCTTGGTGGCAGCCTCAATGTACTTGAATACGACTTCAGGGTCCTCGGTGACATTGACGACACTGGCAAGGAAGTAGTAAAGACCTTCAGCAGTCTTGTACTTCTCAAAGAGGTCAATCAATTGCTGCGCACCGAGAAGCTCCGCATACTTGGTTGCGACCTGAACGACAGTCTGGAGATTCTGGCGAATATTGTGCTTCATCATGGCGTCCAAGCAGTCAAGCGATTGCTCAACAGACAGCGCCTTGAAATACTCAATCAACCACTCGGGGTTGTAGTTAGGCATTCCAGGGATGTTGACAATAACCCGCTTGACGGACGCAGGATCCTCATAGAGCTCCAGGGCCTTCTGCAAAAGACCTGCTTGCTCGCAGAGGTTCGCAATGTGCGCCTTGTCAAAGTGGGAGAACATGTCGTTGCCAAGAATGGCGTCAGCAACCTGGGGGGCGTTGACGAGGTTCATCTCCAGTAGACGAGTTTGAAGGTGGGCATGCTCGGGCTTGTTATCCTTCAGAGCGTCAAGCAGGAAAGCAGTTGCTTGCTGGATCATTCCTTGAGACTGGAAGATGTCAACCACCTTCTCAAAGTCGACCAGCGGGCCGCCTTCGTGATTGGCGAGCGTCGTGGCAAACTCAGCACCCTTCTCAGCATTGACACGGACAATGTGGTGGAGAAGCTGAATAAAGTCGGGCTGGTAGTTGGCTTGACTGCAGTAGGGCAGAATCTTCTCAAACTGACCAGTCTCGGCAAACCCAGCAACAACCTTGTGAGGAGCGTTGGCCTTCAAATAGATGGCAAGCGCCATGTTAATGTCGTGGGGCCGGACCATGTCACCAAGTCTCTCAGAGCACTCGAGCTTGTTCTCGCTGAGCCACTTCTGCAATAGCTGCTTGCGGTTCTGAGCGAGAACGGGTTGGGCAAGCTCAATGGTCTCGTGCTCGTTCAGCGAACCCTTGTCTAGAAGCATACCAAAGTACTGCAAGATATGCGACATCTGTCCAGGCTGCTGTGGAAGACGCTTGAAGCGCTCGATGGTCTGAGGAGTGCGAAGAAAACCTCGAGGAGAGTTGGCAGCCACCTTGGCGGCCTCTTGGTAGTTGCCATTGCTGAAGAGTTGCTCAAAGCGTTGCTGGTAGAGATTATCGGCGCCTGGGAGCCCTGCACGAGAAGCCAGCTTGATTGCGAGCTCGTTGCCGTGTGCCTCGAGGACGTAAGGTACGATTGTGTTCTCATCAGCGCTGACGAAGAGAACCTGTCCCTTGCGGTTGATGCCAATGACGCCGGTCGAATCCTTGTCACCGCAAGCAGTGAAGATAGTATCGCTTGAGATGCGGTTCATGAAGATACATGTGGCAGTCTCAAGGTCGTAGAGGTGAATGAAACCGTACTTGGTGATAAGGTAGATGATGCCGTACTTTTGCGAAACCTGGAGGGCGACGGGAAAGTCATTGCTGGCCTCGGGAGGGAAGAAGACGTCCACGGCCTTCTTGGGGAAGACGGGGTTTGTTTCGGGATGGTCGACCTCGACAATGTGGAGCTTTGCGCCGACGGCGGTGCGGACCGCAAAGGTAAACACCTTGGTGTCCTCCGGGGCGCCCTCTAGTCGGAGGGTGCCAAAAGCAGCGGCATGACCCTCAATAGCCTGGCTGATACCGCGGTCTTTGGAATAAAGCTGCATGGCGCCAACAACGCGGCCCTGCTGTTGTGAGATACCGACAACGACCATCCACTTTCCGTCGGCGCTGGTCCGATAATTAATTATTTGGTTTCCCTGGAGATTAGCATTACGATCGAAGACCTTGACCGGAGCGGGCTGGTTCGGGTCGAAGACATCCCAATGGTAAACAGAGCCATCTGTGATCAAGCCAAGCGTGGTCTCGCTAACCCACTTCCAGAACAAGACATCCTCGCTCATGTTTGTCGACTTGAGCTTGGCCTTGTTTTCGAGGTCGAAAATCTGGAGTGTGCGCGCCTGAGCCTTGAGGGCAATTACTTGGCGTGTCCAGTGCATTATGGCACTGTCGGCCTTGATGGGACGTCGGATAACATTGTTTCCGTTCTTGAGATCGACGATGATGACTTCAGGGGACGCTGCCTCGTCCTTCTTGTCGCGAATACACACCCAGTTGTCCGATTCTAGGGTCTGGGAGCGGGGGGTTCACGTCAGCAGGGGTACCAGAGGAGGCGCGACAACTGTCACCAGCAGGGTCAGAGCAAGGTGAGGACAACGTACACAGGTGTTGAAAGTGATGGCGGTCTGGTTGATGCCGAGGGCGCTGAGTTGCAGCAGCTCCTGGAATTTGATGGGTAGGGCCTGAGCCATGATGGGCGGTGGTGTTGCGCTAAGCTGCGCGCAGAGTGACGAAGATTAGCAGCCAACTTATCAAAAGCGGCTGGAAGGCGAATCCGCTGGGAAGTAGAAAGATTGGGGGAAATGGAGGCTCGTGGAGCTCCGTGGACTGAATGGAATGGCGGCGACGTGAAAGGAGGCGGTGGTGGTGGTTGGTTGTACTTTGGTGGAAAATGACCGAGCTCCCGAGAAATGGGGAGGGGGGAAGAGGACGGATGAATCAGGTAGGTAGAGGTAGGTAGGAGGTTGGAAGTGGAAGGATTAACGCAAGGTCCAGAAGGCAGGTACGCAGTAGTGTAAAACCCGCCGCCCAACTGTGGGTGAGAGGTGAGTCGCGATTTGCCGCTCAGTTACAGATACGTAAAGTAAAGGCGGGCAGGTACCTCAATGTCACCTCACTTCAATGCTCCAGCAGAAAGAATAGAGAAGAATCGCGGTTGTTGAAGGACGCAAAGCAGCAAGAGGAGACGTCGTTTGTTACGGGCAGTTACTACCGTGAGAGATGAAAGATACAGCAGGAAAGATGGAAGGTGCTGAGGTGAGATGCCTCTCCAGCTGTCCAGTGTGTTTGTACATGCCGCAACCGTTCAGTGCAGACGGAAGGTACCTCTAGTACCTCTCAGGTTACCTGCCTGCTTTTGAGTGATGTGTTAACACGGGACCTCGCGGCCGGGGCATCCACCGCCCACCGGCGCCGGCTCCATTCAGTGCTTCCCCCTGCGTCGGGTGCGCCTAGACCAGGCGGCAGGCGCCTGCCCGGGAGGCCTGCCTGCCCCCTTCGCTTCAAGCTGTCCGCCCGGTCCAGGTTGCCCGCCCTCATCCCGTCATCCTTCTACTTTCCTTTGCCCGCATTGATCGCCTCCTGCGAGATCCGTCAGACGGTCCTTCCATTTCCTACCTCTAGGTACCTTACCTCTAGGCCGCCTGCCTCCGGGGGCGCCGTTCATGCCGGGCTCCAGGGGCAGCTGTTCCCTACTCCAGAACAGCCCAGCTCCAGGGGTAGCGTCAGCTGTTGCTACAGGGATTCTGAACTTGGCCCAGCTTGACTCATGTGGGGCACTGACCAATGGCTCACCTTTTGGGACCGCAGTGGGGTGGAACCCGATTTGAGGAAAGAGACTTGGCATTGCTATCGATAAGCTTTTTCAGAAAAGAAAATCGACCCGGAGAAATATCCACAAGCGCCTGTCGACGGTGGGCTATCGGTGTTCAAACCAACCCCAACAACATCCCAACCACCACCAGACGACCAGCAATACCATCAAAATGGGTGTCGGACGTCGCATGCAGAAACAGGGCCCTCCTGAGCCCCTCTCGGAGGAGCACTTCGCCAACCTCAAGCGCAAGAAGGGCATTCCCTTCGACGAAACCACGACCGAAGTAGACACTAGAAGATCCAAGAAGCAGAAGATTGTCAAGAAGCAGCCCAAGACATCCGGTTCCAACACTGTCGCAGTCAAGGGCGCCAAGAAGGAGGTCAAGGAGGTGAAGAAGACTGGCACAAAGCCCGCCCATAGGTCCAAGGAGTCCAAGAAGCCTAAGAAGGCAAAGGAGCCTTCGCCCGATCATGACGAGGAGATGGACGACGAGTTTGGCGCGTCCGACCTGGAGGACCTTGATATCGACGGCGATGAGATGGACGTTCAAAAGCTAGGAGACGATTTCCTCGGCACTGACGACGATTCGGTTTACGATTCCGACCAGGACGGTGTTACCAAGAAGGAGGCATTCGTCTTCTCTGACGATGAGGATGACGAAGAGGATAGAGAGGAGAAGCTCACAGCCGCCAACATTGAGGGTCTTTCGAGGAAATTGGATATGCAAAGAGAGAAGGAAGCAGAGGAGAACGAGGCCGAATTGCGCGACGAGGCGCTCCAGACCAACATCGCTGGTGGTGATGACCTCGGTGATGACGACGACCAACTTCAGACCAAGACCAAAACTTTGCTGGCGCCCGATCTCCAGATGTTGAGGACGAGGATAACAGACGCCATCCGTATCCTGGACGACTTTTCGAATTTGGCGGAGGAGGGCAAGAGTCGCGCCGAGTACACCAGCCAACTCATCAAGGATATCTGTGCCTGTAAGGACCCGATGCTCCTTGCGCAGTACTTCTCGTGAAATGCACAAATGTTAACTTCAGGGTTTGCCAGACTACGGTTACAACGAGTACCTCGCTGAAAAGCTTTTGTATGTTTTACAACCTGTCGCATGCCCGTCTGCGGCGATACCACCGGTGGGGAAACTGTCTGACTGTTTGTAGCAACCTGTTCCCTCCCAGAGAGGCGTTCGCCTTTTTCGAAGCCAACGAGAGTGCCCGCCCCGTCGTTATCCGTACAAACACCCTCCGAACACATCGCCGCGATCTTGCCCAAGCACTCATCAACCGCGGTGTCACACTCGAGCCTGTAGGCAAGTGGTCCAAGGTCGGTCTGCAAGTCTTTGACTCGAAGTACGTATATTCTAAATCAGGACTACAACGACGCGATACACGGAAATCGCTAACAACTGGGGCATAAAGCGTTCCCCTCGGTGCCACGCCTGAGTATCTGGCTGGTCACTACATCCTCCAGGCCGCCTCTTCGTTCCTGCCCGTGATGGCTCTCTGCCCCCAGGAGGGTGAGCGTGTTCTCGATATGGCCTCTGCCCCCGGTGGCAAGACCACCCATATGGCGGCGTTGATGAAGAACACCGGTGTGATCTTTGCGAACGATCCCAGCAAGCAGCGTGCCAAGGGTTTGATTGGTAACATTCACAGACTAGGCGCGAGGAACGTCATCGTATGCAACTACGATGCGCGTGAGTTCCCCAGGGTCATGGGTGGCTTTGACAGAGTCTTGCTCGATGCCCCATGCTCGGGTACTGGTGTCATTGCCAAGGATCCCTCTGTCAAGACCAACAGAGACGAGAAGGACTTCCTGCAGCTCCCCCATCTCCAAAAGCAGCTTCTCCTGGCTGCTATCGACTCGGTTGACCATGCCAGCAAGACTGGTGGTTACGTTGTCTATTCGACGTGTTCCGTTGCCGTTGAGGAAAAGTGCGTTTTCCATATTGTCCTTAACTGTTCACTTTCAGACGACGCTAATACAAGATCGCAAACAGTGAGCAAGTCGTTGCCTATGCACTCAGCCGCCGTCCCAACGTCAAGCTCGTTGAGACTGGTTTGGCTTTCGGCAAGGAAGGCTTCACCAGCTTCATGGGTAAATCGTTCCACCCTAGCCTCAAGCTCACCCGCAGATATTACCCCCATCTTTACAACGGTACGTTTCGCCTCCCCATACCCCCTTTCCCTCCCTCCCCTCCTTCATCACTAACACAAACCTCTAGTCGACGGTTTCTTCGTCGCCAAGTTCCAGAAACTCGGTCCCACGCCCGCCACTGCTGTCCGCGCCAACGGCGTCGACAAGTCCAACAAGCCTCTGGACGGCCAAGCTTCCCAGGAAGCCCAAGAAGTCGTCGACAAGACGCCCATTGGTGCCGAGTGCGAAGCCCAGGATGACTTTGGCGGGTTTGATGATGGAGAGGACAAGGAGTACATGGAGCGCGCTAAGCGCAACGCTATGCGCAGGAGAGGCTTGGATCCTAGGGCTCTTAAGAAGCCTGTTGGTAAGAAGGGGGAGAAGAAGACTGAGGAGTCGTCCAAGGAGGCTGGTAAGGAGGAGGCTGCTGAGGTGACTGAGAAGATTGAGAAGCTTGGGGTTGTTGAGGAGCAGACTAAGACGGTTGATGCCAAGGCTAAGAAGGAGGCGGTCAAACCCACCAAGAAGGTTGAGGAGAAGCCCAAGGCCACCGCCGGTGCCGCCATGCCGAAGAAGGCTGGCGAGAAGAAGAAGAAGGTGGCTAAGAAGTAAAAGGGAAGGGTTGTAATGATTTCTGTCTGTCTGTTTTTGCATTGTTCAATATACTTAGGGCTTAGGAATACCAACCAACTAACAGAGCCTTTATGTTCCTATAGATGTCGACAACAAAAGTTAATCCGAGTCGAGAAAAACTTTTTGCTTCATTATGATGCGCATCTGGACAATAATGGTGACCTTGAAGTCCAAAGAAAAAAATGTGGAAAAGCAACGTCTAGAATACTTCAAATTAAATATGTATTTGTCATTATTTTGATTGGGTATCGCACATCGTCTTTTCATTCATTCATACATACATGTCCACGCCCTTGCGCCTTTTGAGTTTTCCTAACCTCATGCCCTAGTGAATTGCCGACCAGGGAAAATGATGTTGCGTAGATGAACAGAAACGATGGGAGTTTCGACAGCCTTGTCGATATCCCCACAGGACCTCAATTGTAAGGCCAGGCAGTATCTTTACTTCTCTCTTGTTTGTTCGATAACTTTGAAAACATGTGACCCTCTCTGTTCGAGGACAAATGGTGATAGGAAATTCTCGGGTCTTAACGCACGAGCAACTGTCGACTGACCACTGGCACGATCTTATCGTCATCCAGGGTGCACCTCCACGTCCCGTCTCCCCGTTTCTCTTTGTGATCCGTATAGGTATCGAGTGCCAGATTCACCAGCGCTTCGGCATCCTTGCGGAGCTCCTTCAGCTCCTCCACGCTCCTTTCGCTTATGGTGACGGCATTGTGCGGCAGGCGATATGCCGCAAATACAATTCCGTGGTTCTTGACGCCACCGTGCCTGCCTGCCTTCTCGCTAAGCACGCTGAAAGGACCTGGATAAGTACAACCAGTGTAGAACGAGCAGCTATAACCTTCAGCGAATTCATTCTTAGCCGCATCGTCGCTGCGATATTCCAACCAGTGATCAGATTCGAGAATCTTGCGGTGAACAGGTGCTGAGATACGGAACGGGCTCATGAGAGAATGTAGCCCGTACGCGGCCAACAAACGGCCAGTCATAGGTCGATATTCAGAGGGTAGTGGAAACAGCAGTCCGAGATTTTCCTCTGTCGATGTGGCGGAAAACGATGCGCTAGGGGACGAAGGAGAGTTGAGAAGGGTTGTGGAGGTGGAAAATGATGACATGGATGACCTCTTTGAGAAACCGGTGGACTGGCTAGAGCCATTCCGACTGGGCCACAGGTTGACCACATACACAAGGTCAAAGTGATATTTTGACGCAATCCGAGCAGCTTCAAAGGCTGCTATAGTAGCAGGCTTGCTGGCCAGAGGAGGGGAAAGTGTCAACAGGGGGTGATCGCTCACCATGTGCGGAGAGGAAATTGAAGCGAAACAATTCAGCGGCAGATCGTAGCTTGATGAACCCGAAGACGTTATGTAACTTGTCTGCGACAGCGATTGCTCGTTGGCAAGATCATCAGCGATATCATCATCGCTAAGGGCCAAGAAGTCATTGAAGCTGGGTTCCCGAAGAATGGTGTTGATCCTGATGGAAGGAGCAGATCTTTCAGTGCTAAGGCCGCTGACCGGAGTCTTCAACCCCGAGACGGGCTTTTTGCAGACAAGTGTCGCAGTCCGACTTCGAGGGCTTCTCGACGGTGACAAGGTAATTTCATGCAGCTCGTTGGGTTCTGGAGCAGGGAGCGGGATCAGTCTTGGAGAGGCAGCCGGAGTAAGTTGCCCAGGCGAGAGAGACGTCGGTGACAGGGAGAGCATTGAATCACAAGATCTATGTTGCTGCGCTGATGACAAAGGCGTCTGCAGATGTGTGTGGATGTGTAGGCTGGGATGGCGTTTCCTGCCTGGCTGCGCTCGCGGAGAAATCGATATGGAAGTCGAGCGTGAAGGTGACTTGTGACCGGACCTCGAGCGGCGCATAGATAAAGCAGATAACTCATCATGGCTCCTTGTAGAGCGACCGGAAAAACTGAACTCGAGAAGTTCGGCTAAAGAGGCGTCCATTTGTCTGCTGACTAGGGAAGAAGACCGCTGAGGTACTGACGGGCCCTGATTGCGCCGCTTGGGGGTAAATCCTGTTCTGAGTCCATGCTCGGAGTTCGAGAAGGACGGACTATAGGGATCGCTTGGAGATTCGGGGAGGCTCTTTGTGCGTCGGGCACTTTGGCGTGCCAATGTCACCTCCTCCCTAGCCAGCATGCGAGTTGAGGTCGGTCTGATGAAGGATGGCGTTGGAAATTTTTGGATAGTTGGAGCTGAAGCCGAGTGCGAAAGCGATGTGAAAGGTCCACTTTCAACAGCGGCCGACTTGCGCGGCGATAGCTTCCTCTTTCTGTGAAAAAACCTCTCCAACCGGTCCAGCCTCTTCTCGAGGCGGTCCATTCCCATCGACATTGAACCAGTCGTAGTGGTTGATGGTATGGCTAGGTGATAGCGGTCAATTCGAGAGTCGCTCCGGGGTAGGCAAAGTTGCGCACCGGCAAGGAAGAGGTTGTTTTGGATTAGCTTCTCTCAAGCTAACTAAGAGAAGGTCTGAGATGTTCGGGGTCTAGGTTTGGAGTGGTGAATAAAACTCTCCACGGAAAGACATGGAGACTTTGCAAGGAGGGGTGGGTTTTGTGCGGGACTGGAGGGTATATTGCGGGTTTGAGATTTTTGTAAACGGCAAATGAGGCGCGGATGAGATGTCACTAAGATGGAGGCCTGGTGGTTGAGTCCTGGTAGTACGGTGTTGCGGATTTGGTGTGGATGGTCATTCCGGTTTGGTATGACGGTGATCGTACAACGACTTGGAAGTGTGGTGTTTCGATTACACCACAGAAAGAGGAAAACAGCGGCGGTTTTGTTTGTTGTCCTCCTAGAGGTGGAAGGTAACTGTGTTGCCTGGCAGTTGAGACAGACTGGAAAGGAAGTCAGGTTGGTCTTAGACTTGTTGTGTTCCCCAGATGATGTTGAACTCTCGAGCAGGAAAATCAGGCTGGGTGGAAGGGAAGGCGAGGTGATATAACTAAGGGGTTGACTCAGAGCCACAATGGAGAAAAAGAAAACTACCAGTGGGTATCAGGTCCAAAAGGTATCCCGTTTTTTTTGCGAACAAAGTGAATGGGTTAGCCCAATTGAGGAAGAAAGTATGGCCAAGTGAAGAGGAGGGGGAAGGGGTCAAATACTCGGCAAGGGATATACCAAGGGAAAGTGCTACTCAACATCACATCCCACATTACTACTTTGAGATGGAAGGAGCTGTAAAACAAAGAAAGAGAACGAGAAAAAAGTAAAGGAAGGAGCGGGGTGATAGTGTCATAATTCCCGTCAGAAGGCCATACCAGCTAGGAACCGGGAGAGACGAATCAAGCACACCACAACATCTCGTGCATTTGTTCTTGGTAAGATTGAAAACCCGTTCGTGTTCGAAAAAGAAAGCCTTGTCCATTGATTGAGCCCACTGGGACTCGAGTCAGCCAAACGGAACGCTCACCATTGTGACTTCCCACCTTGTTTACTCCCGCAGCCATCGTTGCTTATTCCAGTAGAATGGGAGCTAATATCAGAACATCATGGTGCCAAGACGATGAGATCCCAAGAGGCGTTCGGTTAGGCAGAGCCAGGCTCGCCTGTTGGTTTTCTGGGACTACTTGGAAACGGCGCAAAGAGGGGTCAAAGGAGAAGAAGGAAAAAAAAAAAAAAAAAAACCGAAATTCGTGATTTGGGTTATGGGGGTAAACGACGACGGGAGTGTAATCCATACCGTCCACTTGCTCGTCTGTACGTAGATGTACGTAACTAGGTGTAGCATCAGGCTAGACCCGGCTTGTTCAGAAAGCCAAACTTGGATAGAGCAAAACTTTGTCCCATGTTAGGACCGAGCTCTCCAACAGCGACAGGATGGATGCTGAGTTGATGATGGGAAATCTTAGTATCCCTGCACCTGCTCTCCCTGCCAGTGGCTCCCTCTTATCCTCGAGATAAGTCATAAAAGCTCTTATTGCGGTTTTTTATACTCGCCGTTGACACAAGGTTTCAGCGGAGAGGACGGAAATCGGAAGCTTCAGGTTTTCGCGTCTGCGCATCTGGTCCGACAACTTGTTGGGGTTCAATATTTGGGCGCATGGTAACTTTGCTGCTCAAATTTGCAGCTCGTCAGAGATCAGTCGGATATCGCGACTCGATCTGACCCAGAAGCTTGTGCCAGTACACTAGAATATTGAGCAATGTCCGGGTGCAAATGGAGATCGTCTAAGTCGAGTGTTGGTCGGTTCGGCTGTGCGAGGTCAATGAGTGAGGTGAGGTTAAATTTCACGTCCAGAGCAACCTCCCAAGGCTAAGTAGGTGCACGGGCCACAAATTCAGGTACATACATACACTGTACACTATACGGCGTAACAAGGGGACCTGGACGACAATACTGTCTTGGTAGCGCTGAACAGGGATGAGAGCCCATGTCATTTGAGAACCTTGGCGTACTTTAGCTAGCTAGCAGCTGGAAGGGAAAGCTGAGAGGCTGATGAGAGCCGAGCGAATGGATTGCTTGCCTCCTCTCCAAGCTGCCCCCTCGAGGTTCATCTCGAGAGCATTGAATTCAGGGTGGGAGCAGAACGGGTGCCCCGTGCTCCCTCCCAGACGCAGGTCGAGGGAAGCGGCCCCATAGGGAAAACTACTGTGTAGTGCATCTCTAGAGCTTGGAAGTGGCATGCGCTTCTGACTGTATGGTAGCTTACTGCACGTAAAAGCCGTTTGGTTTCCGACAATAAACTTTTCAGAGAGCTTGCACGAATTCCATGCCTTCAAACTCGCAGTGAGATACTTACTGCGTACATAGTGTTCTGCGGTAGATGTAGTGTAGTGAACATAGCTCTACCTGATACCTCGCCTCTTGCTACTAACAAGGGAATTGAACTCCCCCGCGCAATGACGGCGCCAAACCCCGCATTCACCCTTGATCCGCGGCCCTGGCAGGCAGTGCCCGTCGCCCTGATTAGCGACTCCACTTGCCCGGGGGCCACAGCCAATGCAGATGGGGGCCAGTTGGGTCACTTGCAGTTGTGGACAGACCTGGCAGACAGGAACGTTCGACATTTTCACTTGAGTCCTGTCAATGAGGAAAGGAAGCCATGCAGTCATGCCCTGGGATCGTCCGTCGATGCACGCGCGTCACCTCATCCGATGAAGTCTTTTGGCCTTTTCGTATGCCTCTACCTACTGTCGGTTTCTGGTTCTTTACACAACAATGACCTCGGAGAAAGGGTTACCATCAAGTACGAGATTGTGGATACCTACCTATGTTCGTTCGTCGTTACAATCGGCAAGGACTCGAATGGATATCGAGACATTACGGCGACTCACAGATCAATGCAAGCCTCGACGCCGAGCAGGAAGGACCCTTTGCTCCCCCCGTTCATCCAAATAACTCTCGTCTCTCCATGCAGTATGAAAATTTTCACATCCCAGTCCGCGTCCCAGTGAACCGGAAATTCCTATTCGCCTTCAGGATATCATCTGCAGGCGGGCTAAGGATTGACTGTGCATCAATCGGAAAACTATCTATCAAAAGCAATGTTTGGATGTCAAGATTCGAGCCTCACTCTCAATACCCTACCAGTACACTACAAACAAGTCCCAAGCTTTGGCGCTGTTCCTTGGCTTTCCCGTTTGGCCCATTCCCCCCCCCCCCCCTCCTCCTTCCTTCCTCTCATCCTTGAACTTCTCGTCCACGCTTTCCGATGTGACAGCTCAACGAGAGCTTGTTGGATAATCCACCCACCCGGCCGCTCCGATCAGTCAGTTTTGCTCTCCGACATTGTGAGCATACTGTATATGTATTCCAGCTACTACTTAACAGGGAGCGGGGAACGGAATGACATGGAACTTCGGTTTTGCCTCCCCAGGTCATGCATTTTGACAAGTTGAGATACAGGATTGCATCATACACCAACGTCTAGCTCCCAAGTGCACACACCCGACTTAATATTCTCCAGTCTCCAGCGAACAGGACTTTCCTCCGTGTCTTCCCCCAAGCTTCCGGGTTCTCAGCCAGACTCCTCTCAACTCAAGACCAACCTGGAACACCGATCATTCAGGTCTCGGCCATAGCCCCTTCGCTCATTTCTGTAGAGGTAGTCGTGTAACCCGGTGTGTAACCATGGATACAGGCCGGGGCCCTTTTCGCTTGACACCAGGACGAGGAACACTAGTAGGTCACGGTGTCAAACCAAACCCAGCATGGGTTGAATTCAACCCCACGGCTCCTCGTGACACGACCGTTATGCGTTTGTTCCTGCCAGTGTGGGTGGGAAGAACTCACCCCTTCGCGCCAAACAAATGCGGCCTGGATGCAGTTCATCCATCTAATGGCTGTACACAACGAACGAGCGAGGCCAAGCTCTGTTTCGAGACCAAATGTGAGAGGCGAATACAAACCGTGTAATTTACGACCACATTTCGTTAGAAACTCGAGTGTCTGTCTGAGGATGCCTGCTTTCATCGAGTAGCTTTGCTCGCATCTTTGTCGGCTTCGTATCTCAGGGGCAGCAAGACAATCAATTCTCTCTAGAATATTCCCCCCCTTAGAAGCTGGCGACGCTTTACAGTACTGTCCTAGACAGACAGATCTCAGGAAACTTTGTTCACGAGGAGGCGTCCGAGCGGCGTGTGTCTCGGTTTTCATGCTTTTACATCAACGGGATATGTAAGCATGCCCCAGCACAATAGATGAACTCGGTCAGGACCGGTATTGTAGCCAAGTTTGTCTGGTTGAGGAGAGTACGTAGTATGATACCATACGCCTAAATCCAGAACGCCGCCATGTCTAGGTAAGCCTCATCGGATAGTGGTAGGTATCTACGCGTCGGGAACCGGCCGGTACGGTACGACAGCACAATCTACCTACTTTCGAGTCATGTAACAGAGGCGGGATGTATGTGCATATGTGGCATGTAGGAGCCAATGCTGGATGACATTGCCTTACTTGTAAGCAAGACAGAATTCAGAACGCAGTCCCACCTCGCCTGTGTGAACTATGCTTTGCTTTGCGTTACCTTCTCGCTCGCAGGTAGTTACAACATTGGTGTTGAAGCATTTGCATTACACAGCAAGCAAACCACTCCAGTTGCCTAGGTACCTACAATAGGAGTGTGTACATCCGGGGAGACAGAACCCTAGAGTCCCTGGTTACCCTGGGGACTCGAGATCGGCTTTCACAACTTCAAACTTTGCAATCATTGGAGCCGGGAAAAGATTCCTCGATTCCCGGGATCTCACTGTCATGTCATGTAGGTGCAAGCCGAGTCACAATGGACCCTTCAGGGTCTCGAGAAACCTGCATACCTGCATTTATTACATTTAGTGTCTACCATACAAAGTTTAAGCACACTTCTGGCTAATGCAATCAGCCTCCTTTTCCGAACGATCGTCCTGCAAGACATTCTCTCCTGTTCTTTGTGTCCAGTGTCGTCACCCAAGACCAAGCATGTTAGTCGTGTCTTTCATCGTTTTCCAGTCCAGTTCACACAGAGCGGACAGTGGGTGGAGGCTTCGTTCGGGTGGGACAGCTAAGACTTTTTTTTTTAAAAAAAGAAAAAAAATTATTTGTAAAATCTGTCTCAATTATTTTCCCCCCCTTCCAGGCCATCGCCGACCCCTTCACTCGAAACTGAGTGGTTGCTTGACCACTCTTTCATTTACTTACTCGACTTCCTACCCGAGTTCTTCAATGCCGTGGAGCATACTCTGAGGCCGATGACTGAGGACATAGTTCCAAGCCGAAAGTTCATCGTGACGAGCACAGGAAGTTAGGTTGACAGACGGAGTGACAGCATTGGGGGACAGCCTCTTCCCGGCCGAGCCACAGCAGTGGGATAGAGGATCTGGATACCCGCAGCAAAACCCGCAGGCAGCGCTTAACCCGCTTTTGCCTGTTCTTCGCTCCCGCGATCTTGCCATCTTTACGGGGGGCGGATAGGTCCGATAAGCAAGGTAAGGTTACTCTTGAGGCTGGCTGCACCTTTTGGTTCCTGCACCTTCATACTCGATCTTGGGAATAGCCATGGTACGCAATAGGCATGTAGGTATCCCTAGGCAGGCCTCTTTTTCTTGAGGCGAGGCGACGAGGAGGGGAGGGACGGGAGGCGGGAGGTGACGGTCGCTGGGTCACGGTAGAGACGGGTGTAACACACAATGCAGGAATTGGATGTGATGCCAGTCACGGTGCTGATGATATCCGTTGCCCCCTAACCCCCACACCCACAAGCTGTAGTTCTGCTGTTTTAACCTCGCTATGGAACTTCGTTATCTGTGATAGGATGGAGATGGATTCAACAGAATGCCCAATTCTTGGGTTCATGGATAAAGGCTAAATACGAAAGTCGAAAAGTAAGAAGCAAGAACGACAGCCGGGGTAGTTGCGCTTGGCCATCGATTCGACCTACCGTGGCACTCGGAATATATCAGATGTAGCTCCAAAGAGGGAGGCAAAAAATGACTCCCTGATTCCTATTTCCCGAGTTTACGGGATCTTGACAATTCCTTGGCTTTTCTTTTCTTGTTTGTCTTTTATTTTTTTCCTTTAACAGTTCGGCCATAACCACCAATGACTACAATATTGACTCTTATACATAAGCGCGGGTGACAGAGGGTCGTTCAGCCATGTACAAGCCACCATGCAATAGGAAGCCAGGCCGTATTCAGGGGTAGTCACTCGCTTCAGGCATTGATGATGAGCCGCGGTTACCACCATATTGGTAGCTTTCAACTTGTGATTTCTACGTATGTAGCTTTCATTATCTCACAACAGTTTGAAAGTCTTATCGTCCTGGATATCTTCGCTTAGGATTAAGTGGAATGTAAAGCCATCTAGAGTTTCGCGTCAACCTCGCCAAACAGGTTCAAAAATGCTGTGTGTACTTCGTCTGTGAGATCGCTTGCTTGAAGACTGCGGCCCTTCTTGGCAAATGCCAGACGAGAGCATTCCTAGAGATAGATGTTAGCATCTGCCCGAGTATGACTAGGTTATGTATGGTCGATGCTGGGAGATATGAGGCGCAAAAGTACCCCGAACCATAAACGAAAAATCACAAACAACATGACTCACCCTCGTAATGGCGCTTCCACCAAAGACAGCCAAACCAATCAACTCCTCCTTGTTGAGCTTATGACCATGATCCCAGAGATCTTCAAGATACGCCCTCCGCCAGCCCAAAAACGTGGCAATACTTCCCGTCAGCGTATCTCCCTGTCCACCACTCCTCTTCAGACCACCCTTCAAGTCTACCGTAAGCGTCACCTTGCCATCGCTCAAGTAGTCCTTGGCTCCCTTCTGCACAACCATGACGCCGCCGAGCGCCTTAGCCAGCGCCTCCACCTTGGCCGTCTCACCCGCCGTCTCCTCAGCCTTTTCCACCTCTTCGTCCACGCCGAGCGCCTTGGTCAGTCGTCCGAATTCGACCACGTTGGGCGTCAAGATGGCGTTGTCGTACCCCTTGATGAGAGACGGGTCCTTGGTCACCAGCAACAGGGCGTCGGCGTCGAGAACCATGGGAATTCCCTTCTCGCGCGCCGCTGTGATCACCTTGGCGCAAGTCTCTTGCATGAGAGGGTCGCGGCCAAGACCAGGACCGATAACGAGGACGTGTAGCCTGTCGAGCATGGGAATGATCTGGGCGGCTATCTGGGAAGGATCGGTGTCAGGAGCGGACTTTGTGAGCGAGGGCGAGCTGCCGGAGTCCGAGGAGCTGAGGGCCGGCGGGGAGGAGCGCATGAGTGGGTGGACCATGAGGTTGGGCGAGTAGGTTTTGATGACTTGAGCGGCGTTGGGAGTGCAGATTACGTGGGACTATCGGTCTATGTTAGTCAGTCTCGCTACTGGCGATGTAGATGTGGGAGTTGGGTGGTTAAACTTACAAGATCAGCACCCAGTCTCGCACTCGCCATGGCGGAAAAGTAGGGAGCACCTGTGTAGTCCTCGCTACCACCGATGACAGCTACACGACCGAGTTGTCCTATGATTGGGGAATGTCAAGTTAGCTACCTATCTCTAGTCCATCTTCCAGCTACTATTACCAAAGAGATTCTCCTATCCCCCCCTCACCCCCGGCCGCCCGAAGGTTGGGAATAGCTTCCCCGCAAGCCCAGAGCAACAGTGGCGGAGCAGACAAGCTCATCTTCGTCAGCACTGAACTTGGTAAGACAAACCTTTATGGAATTTCTCCAGCATGGGCGGCACCATTTGCCGCACACGGGCTAGCATTTGCTTGGTTGTCGCCGACATTTCTGGGCCGGTTGATGACTCGGAGGACATATCGTAAAAGAGATGGTAAATAGTTAGCTAGAACAGTGATGTTGTCAGTTTAACACAAATTTGTCCAACAGAAAAGTCTTCACTGGTCCAGAAGATTTACGTTCCAAAACCAGGTGCTCGGATCCAAGAACAGCCCAGATCTTTGAAAGATGGGATGGGAATTGGAGCGCGTGGGATGACGCGGGGTGGTGCCTTCCACTTACATTTGGTGTTCTTAAGCTCCGACACAACAACTTTGGAGTTCAATACGATTGATGGTTGAAAGGTATAGAGAGGGAAATGATAAGCTTGCCAGCAAATGAAGCGGGTTATTTGAGTTTTAACTGGATTCAAAGACGTCTGATAATTCGGTAGCTGATCAATGAAAGGCGAAAACCCCATGCTCTTTGGGTGTAGCTGGTAGCTGCCCTGTTGGAGCTGTCGCTCATGATGTCACTGACGCTACCCCACCAAGCCTCATCATCCCAACTGCTTGTCACCAGGCAGTCTTTCGGCTCACTCAGTCCAAAACAACCAAATCGATCGCACATACTATGTACTGTGATCCGCAAATTCAGCTAAGCTGGTTGTTTACTACTGAATTGGTTCTTTAAAAAGAGTGGCTCGTTGATTTGGAAGGCAGCTGGAGGTAAATCCTGCAATTATCTCGCTAGTCAAAACACATTAGAACATCCACTGCAAAAAAGCTATAAAAAATGCACGACGTGAACCTTTGCACAAGCCTTTCCATTGATTATAGAATTCATAACCTCGTATTTTCAGTGCCTGACAAAGGGAATAGAGTGCTTGATTGAGACTTGCTCTAATTTACAGTAGGTTCGGCTAGAGAATCTCCCCTTCTCACGCGTCCATTCCTCAGTCCAGCACCCGACGGAGACGGAACACCTTCCTCTAGAAACACGGAACTGCGCGGGTAAAGATGACGAACCCACTGGTCGTTCTCAAGAACCACGGGGAATTAATTCAATTTATATGCATTTAACCGAGGAAGCTCTTGGTGAAGGTCTGGATAACATCACGGAGCTTAGCCTCGAGGTCCTTGCTAATGGCACCCTCCTTGTCGATGGTGGCCATGATCTCAGGCTCGTTGGTCTTGAGGTGGGCGAGGAAGTCAGCCTCCCACTGGAGGATCTTGGCAACGGGGACGGTGTCGAGGAAACCGTTGACACCGGCGAAGATGAGGGGAACCATCTCGTTGACGGCCATAGGGGAGTACTGCTTCTGCTTGAGGAGCTCGGTCAACTGTAGATAGACTTGTCAGCTCTGCACCAAGACATGGGGAGTTCAGCTTGTTTGCACTTACACGCTCACCACGGTTGAGGGTCTGCTTGGTAGCAGCATCAAGATCGGAACCGAACTGGGCGAAGGCAGCGACCTCACGGTACTGGGCCAAGAAGAGCTTGAGTGAACCAGCGACTTGCTTCATGGCCTTGAGCTGGGCAGCGGAACCGACACGAGAGACGGAAAGACCGACGTTGATGGCGGGACGGACACCCTTGTAGAAGAGCTCAGACTCCAAGAAGATCTGACCATCAGTGATGGAAATGACGTTGGTGGGAATGTAAGCGGACACATCACCACCCTGGGTCTCAATGACGGGAAGGGCAGTCATGGAACCACCGCCGTGGGTCTTGTTCATCTTGGCGGCACGCTCGAGAAGACGAGAGTGGAGGTAGAAGACATCACCGGGGTAAGCCTCACGACCGGGGGGACGACGGAGAAGAAGGGACATCTGACGGTAGGCAACGGCCTGCTTGGTAAGATCGTCAAAGATGACAAGGGAGTGCTTGCCGTTGTCTCTGAAGTATTCACCGACACACGCCTGTGTTTAGAAGCTTCTGGTTAGCCAGTCTGGTCTGATTGGTTTCAAACGGGCCGGGGGGCAGGAATCCGAGAAGAGGTGTGGTGAGGTCTCATGATGTTTGAAGATGGGTGAAGAAATTCAACAGGGAAGTGCAAAGTGTTGAAGGGGCCGAGCATATATCTGGGAAGGGTATGATGATGAACAGAAGGGGTTTCCAGTCATCTGGAAGACATCCTCCCATGTTTAGAAAAGGCGTCAAACGAAAATCTGGAGGTGTTCGAGCGGCAACTGAAGGGGTCTGCTGATAATTGGAGGGGACAAGATCCGGCAGCCACTTACGCCAGTGAAAGGAGCGAGGTACTGGAGAGGAGCGGCCTCGGAGGCGGTGGCAGCGACGACGATGGAGTACTTCATGGCGTCGTTCTCCTCAAGGGTCTTGACGAGCTGAGCGACGGTGGAACGCTTCTGACCGACGGCAACGTAGACGCAGTAGAGCTTCTTGTCCTCGTCGGAACCGCTGTTCCAGCGCTTCTGGTTGAGAATGGCATCGAGAGCGACGGCAGTCTTGCCGGTCTGACGATCACCAATGATCAACTCACGCTGACCACGGCCAATGGGAACCATGGCGTCGACGGACTTGAGACCGGTCTGGACGGGCTGGTTGACGGACTGACGGGGAAGAATGCCGGGCGCCTTGAGCTGGGCACGACGCTTCTCCTTGCAGTTGATGGGGCCCTTGCCATCGATGGGGTTACCGAGGGCATCGATGACACGGCCGAGAAGCTCGGGACCGACGGGGACATCGACAATTTCACCGGTACGCTTGACAGTCTCGCCCTCCTTGACAAGACGATCGGAACCGAAAAGCACAACACCGACCTGGCCGGCCTCGAGGTTCATGCACATACCCTTGACGCCGGAGGCGAACCTGGGGGTAAAGGGTCAGATTTGGGGCAAAAGAGCATCCGTTAGGTTAGGGACTGGAACATACTCGACAAGCTCCTCAGCCTGGACGTTGGCCATGCCGTGAACACGGGCGATACCATCACTATACGAGACGACATGTCAGCATCCACAAATTCACGTCATGGTCTCGCTAACCACAGGGGCAACACCGGCAGCAACAGCATCATCATTGTCGCGAACATCCAGCTTCGACGCATCTCGTCGTGGGTACGGTCGGGATCGTAGTCGTGGTAGTCGTTCTCGTTGTCGTTGTTCTTGTTGCTCCTCTTGTTGTCGTCGTTGTCGTCATTGTTGTCGTCGTGTCGTGATATGCTTGCTGAGCTTCTTTCGTGATACCGCGTTGACCCTGATGCTCTCTGCCGTTCCCCCTCTTTGCCAAGAACCGTAACCATAACCCAGAAAAACGTACCCGACGGAGAGGACGCGACCGGTCTCAGCGAGGTTCGACTCCTCCTGGACACCGCGGATTCTCTGCTCGAGGATGGAAGAGACCTCGGTGGGAGTGGCCTTGGCGTCGGCGTAGGTGCGGGCCTGGACGGCGGAAACTACAGGTGCGGCATTTCGCTGCTGTCGAGTTAGCCCTAGCCGAACTCCGAGAGGCATGCTTCACGACACATGGACAGCTCCCCCAACAAGCCCATCGACATCCTCAAGGCCATGCGCCATGATGACAAAGCTCCAAGCGCTCCGGGACCCGATGAGGTTGAATAGAAGAGGCGGCCGGTGATGTTGAAGGTGGATCGGGTGTGCGGAGTTAACCTACCGCGGCGACTCTGCCAGTGGCAGAGAAGGCGCCGACGGCGCGAGTGCTCTGACGGAGGGCGTTCCGGAACATGTTGTGGAGGTGTCTGTTCGTGACGAGCAGAAGGAATGCAATCGCAACACAATTGCAATTGCGTGGAGGGGAGATGTAGCGGGAGGTTGATGGAGGTTTGGAGAGCCCGGCGTGAGGAAAATTGTCGAGTGGCCTTGGTTCAAAGGGAAAAGGTGGGGCAAAGCTTGGACAACACCAATCAGCAATCGGCTGAGAATTTTGCTCTCTACCAGAATCCCGAGCAACTCCACCAACCACGCCTCCAAAATCGAGAGGTTTCTGAGGTTACTACAAAAAGGCAGCGCATCCGCATTTCACCCACCTTCACCCGCCATCAATCTCCCCTCCCCGCCTCGAGCCTTGGTTCCAAGCCGAACGATCGAAGGCATTGATTGCTACATCCCATGTTCAGTTCCCCATTCTGACTGCAGCCGGCCCCGGAGCTCCGTGATGACAACAGTCTACCTGCCGTTTCCATCCTGCTCCTCTGCCCCGACCTCAGCAAAGGTCTCAGGTCTCCAGCTTTGAGCGCCTTGCTCCCGTTCGGCGGCGGGCTGCATCCTTCAGGTGTCAAGCTCTGGCGGCCAGAAGTCTGCCCAGCTGCCCAATAATGTAATCCGTCGCCCGGGTAATCCCGGAGAAATGTCGCAACCTACCAGAAGCTCTGGCCGCCCCCGGTTTGGCGTTTGGCAATTTGGCACCTCACTTCAGTTTCAGGCCAGCTCTCGGGTTTCACGCTGGTAGCTCATTGTAGCTTCAGCTGCTGGAGTGGTGCACGGGCTGCACACCCGATTGTTATTTTAGGTCGAATAGGATTCCCAACGTCTTCCCCAGGTTTTGTGTGCCATCACTATGTACTTCACAAGATAACATCACCTAGGAACGCAATGTCCAGTCTTGCATTTTGTCAATGGAGCTCCATTCATTATCCGGGGAGTTACAGTTTGAGCAGCACTTCACATCGTATCGCAAATGAATGGTGTCTGCCAGCTGGCTACATACCTCCCCTCACCATTCAACCGACGCCATCTCATTTTGACTGGCTGCTGACTGCCAACGTTTGAACAACAACCAACTCTTTTTCGTTCCTTGTCAAGGCGCTTCTGTGGCATCTCCACACGATGACTTGTACCCGGTCCCGGGCCGTTCCAACATATCACCAAACCTCTTTCCCTCGGACTCCGCCCCCACGTCTGAACGAAACCAACCAGACCAGACTAGCTAACAAGAAGCTTCAAACGCTGTCTGTCGGTGACTGCTATCCGAAGCTATGAGCTAAATATTCAATGCCTGCAACAGGTGCTTACTATAGCAAACAATTGCCTGAACCAGTCTTTCGGGTCGTGGTGAGGTTCTGTGTCAACTTGGGTTTCTGGATATCTGAGCGATAACTCCCACGCGCATCTTGAGAGAACGCAGAGCCTGGGAGAAACTGCTTGGATGGCCTACAGACACTCTGGTATATTTCCCACGTCTCCCGATCCATGCTCACATATGTAACTCTGAGCACTTCGAGGTTGTTTCTAGATTAACACTGGTACCGAGTGATCAATTCAACCTCTTCAGAGGTTTCAAGGGAGGAAGGCGGCTTGTGTTTGCTCAACGATTCGTTCCGTTGAAGCCAATTCGCCTTTATCCCTAAAATCAGGGTTAGGGTTAACACAGCAGTAGTGTACTTGTATCTGCACCGGGCAGACCAGGACCCCCCCGGGCTGTGTTGGCTGTCGCGTGGCGCCCTACGTCGTCACAGTCTCGGTGTCGCGGATGGCCGAAGTCGAGGCCCTTCAACAACTCCATCTCCGTCAAAGGGACCACCTCGTCCTTGTCCCAAACAGTATCTGAATAGCGACCGAATCGGTCATGTTTTGCCCCTAGGGTTCAATTTTTTCTACAAAGAATACAACGTCCTGCACGCCGGTCGCGCAGTCCCTGCTGCTATTGAGTAGTAGCACCTCTCTTTTTCTGGTGAACGGGTTCCCTTGATCCCGCTAAACAGCCACATCGAATTGCAATCGGGTACAAAAACAAATTATCTGGGCGCAATTGTTCCTCGCCCGTCCTCAGTATGCCATCCACGTACTCGGACGATAATACGCTACGGTCTGGCCTTGATCGCTTCAAAGACCATAGCCCCAGCCAGCGTCGAAGAAGCATGTCGCAAGAAACCGACTCCACCGTATCCACGACGAGCATCGTCTTCGATCGCATACAAGAACGTCTTGACACCAAGGAGTTTTCGGCTCGCGGCACCGATGGCGACGACAATGACTCCCTCAAGGACGAACTAAACAATGACGATCTCGAGACTGGGCCCTTCTTGGGTAATGCGAGCCCCTCTTCCCGTTCATACCAGCGCTCATCCGCCGACGGTCAGCGTATGGATCGCAGTTTGAGGAGATGGTTATTCATCGTGTCGGGAGCGCTGGTCGCCACTTGGGTCATCGGCCTGATCTTCTTCGTCTCGTCCAAGGCCTACAAGCCATCCTCCTCCTTCGCGCATGACCCCCAAGCAACAGTCACGCACGGCAGTGGAAAGAAGGTCACGCTAGACCAAGTCTTGAACAATGAATGGCGTGCCAAGAGCCATTCCATCAGCTGGATCGCTGGTGCAAACGGAGAAGATGGCCTTCTTCTGGAGAAGGAGGGCGCAAATAAAGACTACCTTGTGGTCGAAGATGTGCGAGCTCAGAACCCTTCCTCCGTCCAAGCCTCCAAAAGCAAGACCCTGATCAAAGACAAATTGTTTGAATTTGCCAACAAAACATACTGGCCTACTGTCACCGTTCCCAGCCGGGACTTGAAGAAAGTCTTGCTTGCGACCGACGTTCAGAACAACTGGCGCCACTCATACTACGCTGTCTACTGGATCTTTGACGTTGAGACTCAGCAAGCTGAGCCTCTGGTTCCCTACGATGTCGATGCTCGTCTCCAGCTGGCGTCATGGAGCCCCACCAGTGATGCCATTGTCTACACTCGGGATAACAACATGTTCCTTCGCAAACTCGACAGCGATAAGATTGTGCAAATCACCAGGGACGGCAGTGCAGACGTTTTCAACGGTGTCCCCGACTGGGTCTACGAGGAAGAGGTGTTGGCAAGCGGTGTTGCGACCTGGTGGTCCGAGGATGGCAATTATGTTGCCTTTTTGCGGACCAACGAAACAGGCGTCCCCGAGTATCCCATCCAGTACTTTGTGTCAAGACCCAGTGGCGAGGAGCCTAAACCGGGAGAGGAGAACTACCCCGAGGTCAGACAAATAAAATACCCAAGGGCCGGCGCACACAACCCCATTGTCGACCTCAAGTTTTATGATGTCGAACGTGGCGATGTCTTTTCTGTCGATATCTCAGGCCGTTTTGCCGACGATGATCGCCTTATCACCGAGGTTATCTGGGCCGGGAAGCAGGTCTTGATCAAGGAGACAAACAGAGTGAGTGATGTGATGCGCGTCGTGCTGGTTGACGTTGGATCGCGCACTGGAAAGGCAGTCAGAACCGTTGATGTCAACGACATCGACGGTGGCTGGTTTGAGATCTCCCACAAGACCAAGTTCATTCCGGCCGATCCTGCCAACGGTCGTCCTGATGATGGCTATGTGGACACTATCATTCACAACAATGGTGATCATCTAGCATACTTCACGCCGTTGGATAATCCAAACCCCATCATGCTCACCTCTGGGGACTACGAAGTTGTCGATGCGCCATCTGCCGTTGACCTGCAAAGGAACCTGGTCTACTTTGTTTCCACGAAAGAATCCTCGATCCAGCGTCATGTCTACCAGGTCAAGCTGACCGGAGAAGATATGACACCGGTGACGGACACTACCAAGGAGGGTTACTACGCCATCTCGTTCTCTACCGGTGCCGGATACGCCTTGGTGTCCTACCAGGGCCCAGACATTCCCTGGCAAAAGGTCATCAGCACCCCGAGCAACCCCGACAAGTACGAGCACGTCGTGGAGGAGAACAAAGATCTCGCCGAAGCCGCCAAGAAGCACGAACTTCCTATCAATATCTATGGCACTATCAACGTTGACGGCGTAGAACTTAACTACATCGAGAGACGTCCGCCACATTTTGACAAGAACAAGAAGTATCCCGTGCTGTTCCAACAGTACAGCGGTCCCGTCTCCCAGACCGTCAAGAAAACCTTTGCTGTCGACTTCCAATCGTTTGTGGCTGCTGGTCTCGGTTATATCTGCGTTACGGTTGACGGGCGTGGAACAGGCTTCATTGGCCGTAAGAACCGTGTCATTATCCGGGGCAACCTCGGTACCTGGGAATCTCACGATCAAATCGCTGCCGGGAAGCACTGGGCTCAGAAGGATTACGTAGACGAAGACCGTCTTGCCATCTGGGGCTGGAGCTACGGCGGCTACATGACGCTCAAGACCCTCGAGCAGGATGCGGGACAGACCTTCAAGTACGGCATGGCCGTCGCCCCCGTCACCGATTGGCGCTTCTACGACAGCATCTACACGGAGCGGTACATGCGCACCCCCCAGACGAATCCCGAGGGCTACGAATCAGCCGCCGTCACCAACGTTACTGCCCTTTCGCAGAACGTGCGCTTTCTCTTGATGCACGGCGTGGCCGACGATAACGTTCACATGCAGAACTCTTTGACGCTCTTGGACGCGCTCGATCAGCGGAGCGTTGAGAACTATGATGTTCATGTTTTTCCTGATAGTGATCATGGCATTTATTTCCATAATGCTAACCGGATCGTGTTTGATAGTGAGTACTTCAATGTGTTGTTATGGCCGAGTCGACCAGAATCGCTGACTGAAATCTACACAGAACTGACTAACTGGTTGGTCAATGCTTTCAACGGCGAATGGTTGAAAATCGCCAACGCGCAGCCGAACGGCATGAAGCGGCGTGCTCTTCCCACTGCTTGACCATGACAAACAGTATCCTGGTCAAGGTGCAGAGTTGCTTCATGCTTCTGGCGTTTGGATGGACAAAGTAGGCGTTTCGGCTTGGTTGGTTGTCAAGCAGGTGATTAGTTTTATCTTCCTGTTTTGTTTTTGCATACACTTTTAGGGACACCGAAAAAAGAAAAAGGACGCATTGTATGTTTACACATATATACCCTACATATATTGTTGTCCTTTTGCTCCCTTGAGAGTCGCATGCTGTTCACCGGGCCACATAAGATTTGTATTACGAGGTGACATCCTGCCAGTTCGGTCCAACCCATCCATTCGTGCAGCTGGTTCTCGGCTTGCGCCACCAAGAATCCAAACACTTCAGTGATGAACAATCGAGTTTGAAAGCGGTGCTTCCAAGCGTAAGGACGGATGGATGGTAGGTTGGTGGTTGGGTGCATTCCCGGATTTCCCAAAGTAAGAATGTAGGTGGAAAACGGTGGGAAAGTAGGTAGTATTTCCCCACAAACCTGATCCGGATATTCGGGACGTGGTTCCCTTGTGGTACATGTATCGTTGCATTTTCATCTCAACCTCAAGCTCAAGGAATGCGATCCCGGCCGAAGGGGATTACCTATGTGTGTGCGGTTGATGATACCATCCGCTCAAATCAGCCGGGGAGTTATGTTCCAGGGTTCAGTATGTAGCAGCAGAGGAGTGTGAGAGATATAACAAGCTTTCCCTCTAACCGTCACAAATACCATCGTTCTTAGGTTACGGAGGCGTCGATACTCCTATCTTCCCACTGTCCATCGACCTTTCGGACAAGATGCTCACTCCAACCATCCTCACCCTTCTATTCACCCTAGAAACCACCGCCCTCGCCGTTTCCCATCCCCACGCCGCGTTAATCAAATGCCCTCTAATCTTCGACGGCCGCATCAAGACCCGTACACAGCTAACCGATTTCGACAGCCCCGCCACCTCCCTCTTCAATCCGGACAATGTCAAGGGATCCAGTCTCAAATGGAGCCAAATCATTCAATTCCCTGAGGGGGACAAGGGGAGCCGCTTTGATAGTTGCAGCTATAAACCTCTGGAGGTGACTATTGCCGATGCGAGTGTGTTCAAGACACAGTATGGGTTTAGGAGGGCTGGGTTAATTTTCAATGGGGAGTGAGTACACCCTAATGACCTGGTTGTGATGATTGGCAAGATATTCGGGGAGTAAGGCGGTATGGAGGTTAGTTGGGGTTTGGGAAGATGGTTGCTGATATTGAACCGGAATATCTAGCAAAAACATCGGTAGCCCTGCGTCCAGAGGAGTGAAGACACTACATTTTAGTGTCAGGCAGGATGAGGCGAGAGGGTTGAATTTGACGCATGAGTATCTTGTAAGCTTTGGTTCTTTCTTTCCTTTCCTTCTTTCCCTTTCTCCTTTCACTTTTTCTTTGTTTTCTGCTCCATGTTTCCCTTGGTCGTTCATTCTGGTTACTGACTGAATCGTGTGATAGAACGTCTGGCACGAAACCTCCGACTGGTCCGCCAACCAATTCAACTTCCAAACCGGCACCATCATCGGCCAGGAAGGCAGCCTAGCCAAGAACACTTTCAAGATCTTGAGCCGGGAGAACAAGTTGATCTGGTCGACGCCTATTGAGCAGAAGGAGTGGCAGAATTTTGCTATTACTCTGGATTTCGACAAGAAGCATGTTGCTTTCCCCGATTCTTCGTCCTTGATTTCATTGACTGTCCAAAAAGATAACAGCACGCTACGCCTCTACTATTCCAAAGGCTACGAACCTTTGCGTAGTGTCACTCAGGCTGTGCCGAACAACAATGCGGGAGAAGGCCAATATCAGATTGGCATTCTCAAGAAGCCTACTGGCACTGATGATGTGGTAAATTCGGGGTATCAGGAGAGTGGCATCGATGAAGGACAGATCTATGGGGGGATTTTCATCGAGGATAGTGGAAATGGGTGTGTGTCTCTGTAGTATGTGGTTGTACGGGATGATACCTACGGTATATGAGAGAGCCGTGAAAGCATCAAGTTGGGAAAATATCGGTTGGGCAGCATATATAAGTAAAGCATTTCCTTGTTCTTCCTACCTCTCCCTCTCAATCAATGAAATGACAAGTCAAAATGTCCCAATTCCACAATTCGATACCCTTGGACAACTGCTTAGCCAATGATGATGACATTCAACCCAAGCATGTTGCGCGTATGCCCACTTCAAGCACTCAGCACCTATTCCCCATGAAACCACCACGGGATTAACCCAACTCAGAAGACCTATAAGCCGGCACCGAAAAGTTCTCCGGCCCCTCATACACCTGATGCCGAAAGATATCATCCCCAATCATCGGTATGCAATCCGGAGTGACTTTATACACGGCCGTGTCCGCCACCCGATCGTTTATCCGACGTACAATCAACAAAGCTGCGCTGCCGTCCGGTTGCTCAGTCCATTTGAAGGAGACACCTGGTCCCGTGGTTGTGATGTTGCTCTGGTGGTTATTAGTTCCGGTCCCGTTTTCACCGTACCCGCTGCCAACATCACCTGGATCTGTTGGACACCACGTCTGCGGGATGCTGGTTAACTGGTGGTTAACGGTCGTGCCCATTGCTTCGCAGTGCACATGGACGGCTTCATTATAAAAGGTAACGTTGAATTTGTAGCTAGAATGAGGTGGATTGGGAGGTCAACGGGTTGTTGTTCTGCTGGAAGATACATAGAAGGGGAGATAGAGAGACTCGATGCAAGGAAGGTAGGTGAAGTGAGAGCACTTACAAGTTTCGGTTACTGAGGACCATGGCTGATGCCTCAAAGTTGGTGACGTTGAAGGCCGGGACTTGGTTCAGGTCATGACCATCGTCGAGAACGGCAGGGGTAGGGCTTGCATGCGTGGTGATACTAGCGACGCCCAGGAGAAGGAGATATAGGAGTCGGATGTGCATTGTTCCCGGGAATTAAATATCGGTAGAAAGGTTTCTCGATGGTGGGCCAAGGATGCTGTTTGAGAGAGCACCAAGCCGTTGCGAGGTGATACAGGTAGCAAGGTGAAAAACGGATGCGGTTCAGAGCGAGTGTAGCAGGTTGGCGAGATGTTCACATGGGATGTCAGAAAGGAACTGGTAGGTCTCTTGGGAATTATCTATTGATATAGGTAGTGGTCGACACCCTCCATAATGACAACTCGAGGGACGGGACAACGTCATAAGCCGCATCAACTTGATGCCATTGACAGAACTTTCCAAGTGCAACTCCGGACAAAACGGAGGAAGGTACGAGCAGATAAAAGACCGGTAAGTATTTTTAGGCTTTCAGGAAGATGATGCTATTTGAACCTCCATGTCACGCAAGACATGTTTGGGCGACGGAGTCCCTGACCTGCCAGCTAACTTGTCTGTCTTTCACTGACATTTACAACCTCTTTCTGGAGACCGAGTACGTGAAATAGTCGATCATGTTAGCCTTCCTGACGTGACAGATCCCGCATCCGACACCAAGGTCTGTCACATCTTCATCTCTTTGGTGCACGAAGAGGCTCACAGGGGGCGGTCTCCTGCAACTTTGGTGTTTCGGATATAACTGCAACAACGAGTTTCGGTTGAAATTGTAGATGTTCTGCGTGGGAAGCTGTGGCAATCAACGGAAAGCTTCTTCGAAGCCATCTTAAGTGCAGCCCGAGATGAGATATCTCCTATGAGTTGGTCTTCGGTATGACCAGCCTTCGGTGGATAGGCTCACAACAACAAGCCGGATCGCTGAGGCAGGCCGTCAAACAGGCGACCAGAGATTACCAGGCTCTGAGCGACATATACAGTGATTCGGGATAGGGTCGATCCCAAGGAGGAAAATGGCCTGTGGATTATGTTCCTTGTCTGGAGTGTAGAGACCCTCTTGCCATCCATGTCGTCTTGTTTGGTGCACAACATGAGGAAGCCGCAAGTACCTAGGTAGCTTTGGCATATTGGTTTCGACACGGGTAATTCTTGGGCTTTGTTGGGTATTCCTTCGATGTAAGGATAACTTGCTCTTGGTACGATACAAAACGGAACCCTGTTTGTTGGATATTGCAACCTTTATTCCTCGTCTAGAGGACGAACCAGGACGGGTCCGAACGGAAAAGTGCAGTCAACACGCAGCATGCAGTCATTGACACACTTGTACACCATATCCAGCGAATCCAAGACTGTAGAATACTTACCTCTAGTAGGGGTAGCCTTCAACCCCGCCATCGACAACATGATCAGCACCCAATGGGCGATCCATGGGTGCCTGGGCTTCGATGGCTTTTCACTCTGGCGGACCGAAACACCCAATCCCATTTCCTTGTTGGAAAGCGAGATAACCCTCTATCGGTTGTGCATAGTGGCCGCTTACAAAAGCCTGACAGCTCCCTCAGATTGTTCAGTGTGAACTTTTCCTGAATTCCTCATCCCATCGATCAGCCACCCACCCTCCGAGGACGTTGCTCGGGTAAAGGGGCAAGCAGACGGAATTCCGACACTCGACACCGGAAGACACCGGACGGTTCAGCCCCACTTGTCTGACCGGCGGAGGGCTCGGACACGGCCGCTTCGGGCACCTGGCACAACGCTCAGGTCAACCCGCCAGCAGCACAGACCCAGGGGCTTTTCACAGGGCGGGCAAGGAGCGCCACCATACTGGGGCACCGGAGTCAGGGCAGCTAGCACTAAGGGAACCCACCCCTATTCTGGAACATCACCATTTTCGGACCCTGACTTTCGTTCAAAACACCGCCCGCGGGGATACTGTTCAGGACTGGATACCTACCTTCTGCTGTTCCTCGCCCTTCAAACATCAAACGAACATCTTTATCGTGAACTTGGACTTCCGTGCTTGCAGAGCCTGACGACCACCGTCTTTCCCCCATCTCCCACGGTGAAGAGGTACGTTAGTTGTAAGGAAACCATCTTCCTTAAAAACCCCCCCTTTGTCCCATTCCCATCGCGGCATCGCCCCGCCATGCTCGCGTAACCGCAATTAAAAAAAGGGACCCGACCCCTTATCGTTAGGTACCTTACGTACCTACCTACGGAAGGCGGGTACCTTCACAGCATTGCACATGCTAGCCCAATGCCATTCCCTTCTTTCTGCCTACCTTAGTGGCTGCGCCCACCGGCGTTTTATTTTGATTCGCCCTCGAGTCTGACCACCGTGCTCTTGCCAGATCTCATAATTGCAGCCCACCGCAACTTGAACACGCGTCTCCTGTCCTCAAACCCATTCTTACCTCACGCAACACCAACTTTGGCACTCGAAACGCCGTGCGACTCCCTACAACCTCAGCTACGCACATAGTGCAATTCAACCCACTCTACACACAGTCACAATGTCGCGAATTCAGATCCCCATAGATGTCCTGACGTCTCGCCTCAACATGGGCGAGCGTTTCCAGAACTTCCGTTCAGGCTCGATTGCGAACCGCTTCTCGAACCTGCGCCCTCTCTCTGAGTTCTTCGATATCAAGCGCCTCTCCAAGCCCGAAAACTTCGCCGAGATGCAGTCCCGCGTCAACTATAACCTGGGCCACTTCTCCAGCAACTATGCTGTCGTGTTCGTGATGCTCTGCATCTACGCCTTGCTCACTAACCCTTGGCTGCTCTTTGACATCGTCTTCGTCGTTGCCGGCATGTGGTTCATTGGCAAGCTCGACGGCCGTGATCTTGAGATTGGCCAGCACCGCTTTACCACTTCGCAGCTGTACACGGGATTGTACGTCGTTGCGATTCCGATCGGTCTTTTCTCTTCGCCCTTCCTCACTGTCATGTGGTTGATTGGCGCCAGCGGCTTGGTCATCATTGGCCATGCTTCACTTATGGACAAGCCCATCGACGAGGCTTTTTCCGGGGAGGCGGTCTAAATGGTCGGCCGCGAGCTCCCAAATCTGCGCCCCAATGGGGAAGACCATCGAGGCGCGAGCGGGCGCGCAACGGGAGTGATGATGAGGGTTGGTGGGGTTCTGGGCGTGTGGTGGAAGAACTGGACAGCGAGGACGGCGGCCCTCATACTACACAAGGCGTTGGGTCAGGGTTGGTTTCAAAACCTTTGGGTAATAGATTTGCCAGCGATCCCCTTCGGTTTACGGGTGTCGACATGGGCCATAAAGGCGGTGGTAGTGCGAGGTTACGAGGAAAACATATTTATGGAGCGGACACAACAGACGATGATTCGGAGGACTCGGCGAGCGACGAGGAGGACAATGTCCATCTCGAGTCTGCCCTGGCACGGATTCGCCGGGCTCAAGCAAAGGGCAAGGCCGACGTCAAGTTGACAAAGGACGAACTGGCAGCTCTCGAACGGTATCAACGACGTCAGAACGGCGAAGAGCGTAGGAAAAAGGAAAAGCGGATCGCGGTACCGCTAGGTGCTCTTGGCCAGATAGAGGTGCCTCGGAGCAATTCTCGTGGGGAACCTTCGCGAACCCCGCGGGAACAGTCACCGGTTCCTCCATCACGTCTTCCCAGCGGGTCGTCAACTACTGCTGAAAGGGAACAGAGTTCTTCGCCTTTTCATTATTCATATGTCAAAGACCAACCCGGTCCCATTCGGCGTTCTCGCGATTCTCCTCCCCACGGCGATATCTCTCCTGGAGCATCAGGCAGTTCTCCCCACCACGATATCTCGCGGCAAGCTTCAACCGGAAGCGGAGTCGATCCCTTCCAGTACTTGCATCCCGGCGGTACCACTCGTCCCACGTACACAGGCGACTACAGGAGTCGGACAACTACATCAGACAGACACCGGACTACCAGCGATTTGAGCCCGGGCGACTATTCGGCGGGCGAGGAAGACAGGCACCGGCATTCATCCCGGATCAGCAGTTCCGCCGGCAGGAGCACCAACCATTATGACCGATTGGAGCGTGCGCGAGTTGCAGAGGAGCAATCCGTACACGATATTTCCTCTTCATCTAGGAGGACGTCTGGTGACCCACCTTCAATTGTGAAGCGGAAGGAGATGTTGACTGGTAGTTCTTCCAAGTCATCGACCTCTTCCAAGCGCAGAAGTCGTGGTTAAAATGGCTACTTGTTTACTTGGGACCTCTGCTTTTGAAATCGGTTGCACTTGGGCAGGGTAAAAGAAAAAGAAAAAGAAACAGGAGACTGACTGGCTAGATGTCTTGTGTGTGTATTGCGTTGACAGATATAGTAGTTTATGGTTCTTAATATTTATTTCCCCATTAGGTTGGTTTCTTCCATCGCTTGTGAAATTTTCTGATGCTTCTTTTCGATCAGATTCATATGTAATATGGTGCAGAAGACTCAATATTGCTCCGTAACCAGCTGAAAACCGCCGAGGGCCACCACAAACCAAGTTCCAAGCAAGAAAGTAAGTATAGATGCCGCAAACCATCCATGTCTCGTACCTCATGTACCACATACAACATAACCCCCCCGGAAATCGTTTCTGCCCGGCTCGTGGAACGCCAAAAACACCCAAATATTTAGACATGCCCACCCTTGTCAGTCAGCCTTCCTCCATCCTATTCCGATAACATCTTCAAAACACTCCTCAACCCTTCCTGCCAACTCAACCCCGGTCCTCCAGACCCATTGAACACCCCATCTCTCTCCATCGTCCTCTTCTCCCACACCGACCCGTCTCCTCTCCGACCTCTTTCAACTTGAGTCGTGTTAAACCCTCTTGCTAATGCATCCCCCATCATTGCCGCTGCCGCCCCCGCGCCACCGCCACTCCTACTACCACCACCGACGCCGCCGGAACCACCACCGGAACCACCACCAAGACCAATCCCATCCCTCGCCAACCTCGCCACTTCCCCTACGGCACCCAGCGAGTCGCCAGCAGAGTACTTGGCCGCTAGCGCCAGCAGTCTGTCAACGATTTTGGGGAGGCGGATGCCCAGTTTAGCGAGTAAACCCGTCAGGGCGCCGCCGGTGATGAGCGGCATAATGGCAAGCATAAAGACTTTCATCGGGTGTCGCTGGGCGTAGTAGGCCAGGTCGCGGAGGAGACGCTTGAGTTTCTTCAGGAGCTTTTTGATGAGGCGAGGGCGGGGAGAGCGTTTGTAGAAGGAGGAGGAGGAGGACGATGATCGGCCTAGAGAGGGTGAGGGTTAGGGACTGATACTGGACAAAAGGAAGGAAGGGGGGAGAAGGTAGAACGTACGGAATTTGGCAAAAAAGGAACTTCGCCTGCCTGATGAGGAAAAGGATTTAAAGAACGATGGCCGTTTGGGAGGCTTTTCCGGTCTGCCACCGTGACTGCTGCGCGGGGTACCACCACCGCCGCCGCCGCCGAGAGGGTCAATCAGTCGGCTGCTGGTCCTTCGAGAAAGGGAAAAGTAGTCGCGTGGAGGTGCATCGTCGCCGTACATGTCTGAATCGACATACCCATGCCCGCCACGGGACTTGGGAGTCTTGGGAAATGAGCGCCGCGGGTTGTCAGAGTCGGAGTCGCTTCCGTAGCCCATGCCGTCAAGGTCATCGTCGTCGCCGAGGAGGAGAGAGGCTAAGAAGCCGACTAGGCCTCCTGCTCCTCCTTCTGCTCCTTCCCTCCCGTCAGGTCCTCCTCTCGGTACTGCTGCCCTTTCATCCGCTCTATAACTCTCCCTGCTGTACATTTCCTGCCTCCGTCTTTTCCCGCTGCTGTTACTGGCATCTGGAGGAGAAAAGGGGGCCTTTGGTGGTGGTGGTGGTGGCCGCTCCCGTTCACGATCCCTCTCCCGTTCTTGCTGACGTTCTAGTTCTCGCTCTCGTTCCCTGGATTCCCGTTCTCGTTCTCTCTCTCGTGTCTTGAGCTCCCGGTCTCGTTCCTTGGGTTCGATTTGTTCCCTACTTTGCCTGGAGGATGAGGACCGATGCGAAGGCTTTGGCCTTTTCGACTTTGATGAACGACTGGAGAACATGAAACCCTCGCCGAGGAAACCCATGTTGGCGGTTTGGGTTGGGTTTATTTAGATGTATGTATATGTGGAACGATTTTTCTTGACCGGACAGAATTGCACTGCCCTTTGATGTCAGATTGTGAATACGAAAGCGTTGGTTGCGTTTGGTCTTCTTCAACCCGGTTGCTGGTGAAGGATTTGATGGTTCGAGAAAAAGATAGGATTGCTTCCACGCAGGTCCGGGCCGTTTAGGTTACTGGAAGTGGAGGAGGATCGGACCCTCTCCGACCAACAGGAGCGGCTTGACGCGTCCAGGGAAGGTAGGGAACAATGTTGGGAGCTGAGTTTCCCCTTTCAGGAGTGAAAATCTGCACGGTGATTGACAGCTAACACAAACATATGTATCTGCTTCTTGAATTGCTGCCGTGGCATGTCTGAAACTAGTCGTCACCACACTTCAAGACTCGATCTTGTGCATGTATAAGTGAACGGTAGGATAGGGTAATGAAACACGGCGAGATTGGAGAGGGGATTGGTTCTCGAAACCTGTCATGCCTTTAACCAGCCCAAACGACAGTCCAAAGTAGGTAGCCCTATCTCCAGCGGCGTACTTGATTCAACCGTTCTCACAGTCGTCTCTCACCGCTGAAAATTCATGAGGCTGGGGGCTCGTTGAGGTCTGCGACTGGACGCCAGGACTTGAGACTGGACTTGAACCGCAGGACCGTCTACCCCTGAAATTGTGACCCTTGTCACAGTTGGAATCTCGGGCTCGGCACCCATGGCACCAACAGCCCTGGCAGAATGATTGCCTAATATTGGATAGAAATCGGCGAGTGGGGATTAGTAGTCACAACGAAGCGGGGAGCCAGGGACGACCTTTTGGAGAAGCAAGCCATCGACTTTATCGTGGAGGAGGAGGTTGTTATTGTGCGACTTGAGAAAGTAATTCCGTCTTGGACTGAGGGTTTGATACGTAATTGTTATTCGGCTGGAAGTAAGACGATCAGAGCGTGATAATGAATTGTGCAGGTCAAGGCAGTGTGTGAGATCACAGCTTTTATCTGCTGTGTCGCAAACTCTCGAAATGACAAAATCGGAAGAACCAACTTACAGCTGAGCTCGCCTATGATGAGCGATCATTGTCAACGAACTGAACTCCCCTTGCTGCAAACGGTGGGGCAGTTAGTACCTGATAAGCCACACGTGGCACAGGTACAAACCATAGAGGTAGAGAGGTACCTAGTACCTGGGCTACCTCTACCTACCCGCCTTGACGCTTTATTTCGCCGACGGAGTTTCCTTTCACTTGCACTCACGGCCTCCAGCTTGCAGAAAGTTCCATCGTTTCGTAATTTCCTAGCATCACATTGCTGCGATAGGTGTTATGTAACGTTGATAAATACATAGGTACACGGAGCCGACAGCACATGCACAGTTTGCGTAGGTACGACTTGACCATGTATGACTCCATCACCCACTGCAACAGGTCCTGCCTTGCAGGGGTAGGATGAAAGCGCGGGGCAATGGACCTTGGGCTTCGAACTTAACGGAAAGCTTCCACTTCTGTGTTGTCATCGCTTGGCTTCCACTCTCCATAATTCTTGCAACTTGCAACCCTGCGATCACAAACCCCCATCATTCTACCCTTTCGCCATTCTCTAGAGTATTGATCAGGATGGTGTCACCTGCAGTTGAAGTTAAGAGCCCAGCGGAATGGAGTTCCCTACTGGATGCCACGAAAATCGTTGTGGCACAATGTAAGTTCTACTCCTACGCCAGTCGTTCGAGAAAGCGATCCCCTTGAATCGCATGCCCTGGTGGTATACAACTTAGCCGCTGCTCACCATGTCATCACTTTCAACGTCTGGATACGGAAGCGTGGAGGCGCCTTTTCGCCATGCATTCGCGTTTCTTTTACGCACCCATCTCTCCCTGGCGGTGCGCGGTTCGTCAAGAACAGCTTGTTAACATAGTTTTCTCCAGTTTACTCGCCTTCTAACACGGCCTCGCTGGAAGCGATCCACATTCTCGAACACCACTCCCAAGGCATCGAAGGACGCGGCACGGTCTTAGAGCTCGCAAAGGTCAACGTGGACGAGTTGAAGGCGATTAAGAATGCCTACAGCATCACAACCGTCCCGACGACTATGCTCTTCCAGAACGGCAAGGAAATCGACAAGGTTGCTGGTGACAATCCTAGGAGGCTAGCGCAACTGGTTGAAAAACTCAAACGCGCAGTTGACTCGGCAAAGACTGAACAGGCAAGCGGGAGCTCCAGCAGCTGGAAGGGTGCCGCACTTCCCCGCGGGTACGTGGATGTCACCGATCAGGTTGAGCTCAACCGGTCTGAGCTTTTGAATGTCGACACAGAGACCGGTGGCGTTCGAGTGCTTTTTTCGACCGAAAAGCCAAGTGCCTTGTCTGGAGGCAAAGGAACCGCGAAGGATTGGGTTGAAAGTGACACCGACGACCAACTGCTGCTTTTCATGCCCTTTCAGTCTATGCTCAAATTGCATACTCTCCAGGTTGGTCCCGCAAAAGGTTCGAGTAGACGACGGACAACGCAACTGACATGACCTTACCAGATTACCTCCTTGCCTCCCACTGATGACGACGACGACGAATTGCCCACGAGGCCGAAGACGATCAAGCTTTTTGTTAACAAGCCACACAATCTCGGGTTTGACGAGGCAGAAGATCTTCAAGCCACGCAAGATATCGAGCTGTCAGAGAGTGACTGGAACAAGGAAGGAACTGCTAGCATTCCTCTGCGTTACGTCCGGTTCCAGAACATTAATAGCTTGGTTTTGTTTGTTGCTAATGGGGACGGGGATAGCGACAAGGTCAGGATTGATAGGCTGAGGCTCATTGGAGAGTCAGGAGCAACTAGGGATATGGGCAAACTGGAGAAGATCGGTGATCTCCCGGGCGAGTAGAAGAGGAAGAGGAGTGTTGGTGTCGAGCTTCAGGCATTGAGCATTCAGATACCACTAATATCAGGCAGCAGGCGTTTTGATGGTGCCATAGGGAGCAAAGGTGCGCATTGCAAACCAACCAATCCCCATATCCAAAGTATGAGTGCGTTCTTGAGAGATCTATACATTATCAAGATGCTAGAAGCACGGTCTTGCAACTGGTCCTTGTACGCACAGCACCACGACCGGATGGACGAGTATTCAAACATCACGTCGCTGAAGGACATGTGTAAATTTACACAGTCGCGTTGACTACATCTTGCGATTGTAGCCCTTATGATGAATAATCAATACGCTGATACTAGTCCAGTCGCAGAGCTGGTCTCAAGACAATGCTCGCAGTCACCAAAGCGACCTAAGCCAGTTACGCGCAACAGTCAAAGAAAGTAGCCCCAGATAAAATGTCCGATCTCTTCATCACCATCCAGCCCTAAGGGGTTGTTTCTCGATGGACTGACTGACGAGGAAATCGGCCTGCAATATGATTTATCTAGGCCACGACTGACGCGACGTTTTCACGGAATCTCCGGGAGGAGATGAAAACGAAGCAACACGGGTAATGTTTTGAATGAGTCGTGACCGCCGCACGAAGGAAAAAAAAAAGAGAAAAAGAGAAGGAAAGGGAATTTGGGCTCGAGGTCATTATATTGAGAAAATTTGGTGGAGCATCTGAAACAGCTTAGTCATTTTGACAGGCCCACAATTTCGAGTTTTGAGGTGGGCTCAGCATGTCGAGCCCCGAGGTCCATGTTGGCAGCTGGCATAGCATTTGGCCACTCACCTTTTCTGTCGTGACATTGGTAGCGCCGACGTCGTAGCGTTTGCGGTCAGCCAATGTCACCAGTCCAAGTCGACGGGACTTTCTAGTGTACACATCAGCCCTGGTAAGTTCGTTAGCGTGGTACTTACGAGGGTCGTAAGCAGGGGACCTATAAATGCCTTGTAACTTTACCAACCATAGAAGATGGGAGGGAGGCCTTGGGTGGTGGGTGCCCGATTATACTGGTTGAGAGGTTTGTGTTCGGGTGTTTAGATTTCTTCGGCTAACTCTTTCTCTCCTTGAACGTAGGTAGTTTCGGCCAATCAAATCGCGTAAATAGTCGTGTCCGGCCTTGCAACCACCCTGTTACCCCCCTACAAGAAGATGTGGGGCATGTAGGAGGCTAACAAACTTTTAAGGACTGATGTGTAGTGTTATCCTGGCAGAGGCGTAGAATCCCGCTTGACGCCGTTCCACGGTTTCGGACTCTCAGCACGAATCGACCACACGCTGTCAGCGCCGCTTCAACCACACTACCTAGAGGTACCTACTTTCAACACTGAAGTTTCGGTTGCTGCAGTATGCTGGCGGGAATCGGTTTCCTGGTGATGGTTCCTGTCTTGTGTGACCCTTTCGACCTCGAATCCTTGGTTCTTCACAGCCAGGCAAGCCTGACCAAGCAGAAACTGAAATCTCGATTGCTCCCATATGGGATTGTAGTGTGTTACAGCGCAAAACGACGGGCGACATTATCTCGGTTCCCATTTCCCTTCTCCTCGCCTAGTGCCTTTGAAACTCTTCACATGGGGCTTTTCTCCGTGGAGAATGGCATGATTGCGCTCAACCATTCCAGCCTAACTTGTGTGGACGATGTGTTTGTTCGGCCCAGCATAACATCGTCTCTCGGCTAACACATATTGTCGCCCACGCCCGAGCCTACAAGTTGCCGGTTTATATGAGCAAAGATTATGCGGGACAAGCATACGAGCATCCATGGGCGTGCCAGCGTTTGGCCACCGTATAACCGTAATGACTGATCGTCGTCTCCCCCATCGACTCGTGTGCGTGGGGTGTGCGGTCTTCCAACAAAAGTCTCGAGTCTGACAGACTTTGTCGTCGCGGAACTCAAGCCAGCTACGAGCTGACCCATGGATCCTGGTGTTCCCCTTCGGATATCCTACCAATCCATGACAATGTCCACACAGTATTGGATATTGCCTACAGCGCAGAGCAAAAGAGGCGTTCATATCGGAATTGACACATGCTATACGATATTTCGAATACACAATGGCATATCCGCCGCAACTAGTTCCTACGCCTCGTCGGTTTTTAATCAAATACTCCAGTCCGAAATCAGCACTAACAACTATGCCAGCTGTCATCCTTTCGGCTAGGTTCTGTAACTTGCCTTTTTTTTTTTTTTTTTCAGAAAGTTTAGTATGGATGTCTACTTTGAAGTCATCCGAAACCTGCGCAATGACAAGGTAAAAGTCAGTTGCTAGACTACTGAGCTACAAGCTCTAGCAGCCAACTTGAGGTAAACCCCCGCTTTCCTCTACCTACGTCGTCTCATCGATACACTACGCAGGCATCCGGTCCAGCCGCTTGATCCCTACCCCTCGGTTCCAACACTATCGCGTAAACTGCAACTCTGTTTCGACGGCACGTCACCATGGCCCCAAGATCGGTAAGCCTGGATACTACAATCTAACGCTGGTTTGTTTGCTGGCTCGGTATTCCAAGTCTACTGGACGAAATCCAAACGGCTTTGTCCCAAAGCTTACCA